GGAGCCTGGACGAGGGGCACCGTGCGCGAGAGGGCAAGGGACGGCCACTACGTGGTGGAGGACGGGGCCGAGGCCGCGCGCCGGGTCCCGCAGGAGGACGTCCGCCTCGACGTGGCGCGCGTGACCAAGGTGTAGGGCCCTGCGGGGCCACCTCCTCCTCCTCCCCTCCTCCTCCTCCTCCTTCCCATCCTCCGCCTCCTCCTCCTTCCCATCCTCCTCCTCCTCCTCCTCCTCCTCCTCCTCCTCCTCCTCCTCCTCCTCCTCCTGCCCCGAGGGGGCCCCTCCCGTAGGGGAGGGGTCGGGACCCCAGGGTCCTCCTGGCGCAGGCGGGGAGCGCCGGGCCCGAGGGGCGAAAATCCCCCGCACCCCGGGGGACGCCGCCAAAGTGCGGTTTCCTTCCCCCGGGGGGGTCGCCAGGCCCCGTGTGCTTCCCCAGGGCGGTGCTGGGTCCCCCCCAGCACTCGCCGCCCTGGGGCGGGGCTGGCGGCTCGTCTCCGTCGTGTCGCTCGTCCGTCTCGTGTCGTTCGTGTCGCGTCGTTCGTTTCGTCCCCCTGTCGTGTCGCGTCGTGTCGTGGTCCCGGGGCCGTAAAACGCGGCCACCCATGGAGTGGGTGGTGGGTAGGGTTGGCGCTGAGCACGGCTCGCGCCCCCTACCCCGACCAGGGAGCGCGGAGCACGGTCTCCCAGCGCTCCCTGGTCGCGCTTAGGTCGCGCCACGGGGGCATGGCCCCGACCGTGGCGCGGCCTGCGCCGTTTTTGGTGCACTCGCTGGCACTCGCCACGCCAGCGGAGTCATGTGGCTGATCATGGGTCGACCCCCAAAAAAAAAAAATCCTCCTCCTCCTCCTCCTCCTCCTCCTCCCCTCCTCTTCCTCCTCCTTCCCATCCTCCTCCTCCTCCTCCTCCTCCTCCTCCTCCTCCTCCTCCTCTCCTCCTCCTCCTCCTCCTCCTCCTCCTCCTCCTCCTCCTCCTCCTCCTCCTCCTCCTCCCTCCTCCTCTTCCTACTCGCGGCGGGCGACGGCTGCCAGCCGCGCAGGGAGCCGGCGCCGGCTGGGCCCCCCCGCCGAGGCCCGAGCTCGTGCTGCGGCGGAGGCCCGATGCCGCGAGCGCCTGCTGCTGAGCGGCCCGCGGCCCTCGGCAGGCTGCCGGCAGGGCGAGGCGCCCCCCTCCCTTTCAAGCAGTGGCGAAGCGTCCTGGCGTGCCTGTAGGCCTACCATCAGGGGAGCGCAAGACCCGGGTTTGCCAGGACTCGGGTTCGCCATCGTTTTTGGACGACCGCGCCTCGGATTTTGACGAGGAGGAGTTTCGTGGGATGTCTGCAGCGGGAGGCCTCGTCAAAATGCAGGCTCGGCCTCGTCATTTTTTTGACGACCTCGTCGGGGATTTCCGAGTCCCCTGTACCCGGGTCTTACGCCCCCCTGATACCAAGCAATGTTCTAAGACCCTCGTGTGGTTTGCACGAAATGTTCTTACAACAAGTCCGGCTGGGACTGTCTTGTTTCAAGACATGGCGTCTGTGTTCCAAGCACATTGTATTTGTGTTCTTAGAACATATCTGGGTTCTAGGAGCATGTCGTGGTAGGTCTATAGGAATGCCGTGACGGTCGGTCCCTGCTCAATCCTTCATTCTCGCAATTAGGGGCCCATGGTTTCGCCTTGGTTGTTCTTCCCTCCTCTGCTCCTGGCAGTCATGGCAGCGCCCTGGGCTCTCACGACCCGGGTTCTGTCTCGTCGTGTGGCGATTGTACAAAAGCGGGCAGACTCGTCAGCAGGCTGTAGATCTTAGGTCGCGCTCTGGATCGGCACCAGACTCACGCGCGCTAGAAAAACAAACACATTGACAATGTCCGCCCGTCCACCAGCGCCAGCTGCCAGTGCTGGACTACACTTGCTTGGGCATCCAAATCGAATCCTGGATCGGGAGAACGTCGCTCTGGAGCGGTCCGAATTGTCAGAGCGTCCCGGAATGCTCTAAGAAGGCCGTGGTGCCCGATCTGTTTTTTCAGAACCGCCAGATCTCATAGAGGTCCCCGATGTAGTGATTCAATCGCTTCGCTCACTCCGCCTGCTCATTTCGCATCACCGTGGCTGCGTGGTGGTGTGCTCGTGCCCAGTGGGAGGGCAGTACGATCTTCGAGGAGATCTTTGGAGATGTGGCTCGCACCCTGTCGAAGGGAACCGTCAGACTGCCCCAGAGGGCGCCAAGATGGCTCAAGAGAGCTCTAGAAGAGTTTCCATACGTACCTAGGTTGTGGGTCAAAGCCCTCATAGATGCTTCTTGGGGTCTCTTCGGAGGGAGCCTCTGGGGAGCCTCTTATGGGCCTCTTGGGGGGCCGCCTGGAGCTTCCGGGGGGCCTGTTGGGAGTCTTGGGAGTCTCGTTTGGGGCCTCTTGGGGGCCTCTTGGCGCTTCTTGGGGGGCTCGTCGGGGCTTCCAGGGGACTCCTGGGCGCCAAAAGTCTCGAAATGTCCGTTCGGGTTCCCCGTCTGGCCCCCTCTTCGGGCCGTCCTGGGGATATCTTGGGCCATCTTGGGGCCCTCTTGGGCCCTCTTGGGGCTCTCTTGGAGGCCTTGGGCCGTCTTGATATCAGAGATGTCCCCGATGTAGTTATTGAATCGCTTCGTTCAGTCCGCCGGCCCTGGAGCCCTCTTTAGGGCCTCTTGGGAGCCTCTTGGGGACCTCTTGGGAGTCTCTTGGGGCTCCTTGGCGGCGTCTTGGGGGCCCCCAGGGCCTCTTGGGGGCCTCTGGGGGCCTCCTGGGGGCCTCCTGGGGGCCTCTTGGGGCTGGAGGCTCGAAATGATTTGTCGTGTTCCCTCTCTGGGACCCCTGCAGAGCGTGTATTGTGTCGAAGAGAGATTGGAGGTGATGAGGAGGAGAAGGAGGTTGACGAGGAGGAGGGGGGAGGGGGAAGGGAGGAGGAGTATGGAGGAGGAGGAGGAGTATGGAGGAGGAGGAGGAGGAGGAGGAGGAGGAGGAGGGAGGAGAAGGATGAGGAAGGAGGTGGGAGGAGGAGGAGGGAGGAGGGAGGAGAGGAGAAAGGAGGGAGGAGGGAGGTGGGAGGAGGGAGGTGGGAGGAGGAGGAGGAGGAGGAGGAGGAGGAGGAGGAGGAGGAGGAGGACCGCTGGCTGGTTGAGTGCTCGGTTTGGCATTTGGGGTGCCTCCTGAGGGCGCTTGGGGGCCTCTAGGGCTGCGCTACTTCCGCGACCGCGGCCGCGCGCCGTGACCCCCTTTCAGAGCCTCCGCTATGAAGACGCCGAGCTCGTCCTCGTCGAACTCGTCGTCGCCTGCATCCTCGTCGGCGTCCTCGTTCTCCTGGTCGCGGTCGTCATCGTCGCCCTGGTAGGCGCCTTGCTAGTGGTCAGCGTCATCTCCGCAATCGAAACCATCGAGGAAGCTGTCGTCGTCATCCTCGTCGTTCTCGTGGTACGTGTCGGGACCTCCCTTGCCGAAGCGACCCCAGCGGCCGCCTCTTTTGCCACCGCCCTTGCCGAGCGGAGAATGCGAGGGATAACAACTCGATACATTCGGGCCACCGCTGCAGGATCCACGTCTAGTTGGCCCAGGACGCGTTACAGGTGGAGCGAGGTGCCTGTCGCGGTGCTTGGCGTCGTCCAGGTGGGCGTCCCAAAACATCATGATCAGGCTCGTTTCCATCTTGGCGTGGTCCCATAGCTGCCTCGCCGCCGCGACCACCGAGCGGCACTCGTCGCGAGAAAGTCCAGCACACTTGAGAATATTGCGGGCGTACTCTTTGGAGGATGCAGCCGTGTCCTTGTCCGATGTTTCGTGCTCTGTGCGGATCCGCAGCAAGGTCGTGAGATACTTATGCATCGGCATACCACGCGAATTTCTGAACTTGTCATACTTGGCAGCGTAGTAGTCGTATTGCTCGTGGTCCTGCTTCAGCAAGCGCTTGTCCAGCCAGCACCTCGTAAAAGTCTTCTTGAGGCCGTTGCCCGTTTCGTCCTGCAACTCCGCCAGCGTGATGTGATTTGTCAGATCCCCAGTCTGCCTAATCAGGCTCATCGACGCCATCACTGCCAGCTTGTTGGGAGCCAGGTCGCTGATGAACGTCACGCTCCCCACATTCCGCTTCCAGTCTTCGTAGACCTGCGGGCTGCGCGACTGCGCTGAACTGCTCAATGCGCAAGCCCGAGATCTTGCCAGACTCGCTGGCCGAGACTTGGGGGGAACCGGATCCGCCAGCAGCACCAAAATGCGGCATGCTCCAATCGTCGATGTCGCTGCCACCGAACTCGGAGCTGATATCACCCGATGCCGTCGCCGTTGACGAAAAGTGGAGCGCACACGAGGCGCTCAGCTACCAGTGCAGAGTGCACTGGGTAGCGTGGGCTCTGAACGGGCCAGCGCGGCCGTCGGCGGATATTGCGACGCAGCCGCGGAAGTACGATGCGGTGTTTTGAATGGGAGCGCGCGACACTCCTGCAGAGGCCGTACATAGCGCAAGGCCTAAGCAAGCCACAACGGCAGCGGAAGACGCGCAGTGCAAGAGGTCCTCAGGACCCCCCCCGAAATGTTCCGGGAGAGGCTTCCGGGAACATTACCCTCGCCCCTCCGGACAAGGGGGGCTAGGTTTCGGAGAGTGCGTGGGCGTGACATGGGCTTCGCAGCTGGACCCCCCATACCTGGCGCGCTGAGCGCGCCAGAGGCGGCGCTGGAGGCGCCGTCAGGATTTTCACCGCCCATCCAAGGATCAGTATCGTTGATCTAACACCCCTCCCCATCCCCATCCCCTTCGAGACCCCCACCAAATCACCACCCCACTTGGGGATACACCCCTCGAAACCCGAAGGGGACGGCCTATATCCCCATACATCTAGGGGGGTAAATCGGCCAGTGGGGCCCAGGCCACGCCGCTGGGGATGGGGATCGCTTAAACGATACTCACAGGAATCCGCGAGGAGTACCGAAAGTTACTGTTTATGCAGTTTTTTGTTCCTCGCCTTTCCGCTCCTGCTCTGGGCGGCGCGCCAAGCCGAGGCCCTGGGTCGCCTGCAGCGACGCGCCCCTGGACGAGGCCAGCGCTCGACATCTGCTCGCGATCCCCCGACGCCCAGAGCCTCGAGCAGAAGTTCTAGGCCTCCCAGATGGGGTCCGAGGATCGCGCCGCATCGCCGATTCAGCACCAGCGAAGTTCAGAGCTCCGGATCATCGGGGCTGGGGGTGCTCAGGGGTAGCTCCTGGTTAGTGCCTCGGAGGCCCAAGTAGGAGTGGTCCCTGACTTGAGGCGTCTCGGATAATTCGGGCGTCCAACCGCTCCTGAATCATTTGGGCCAGGGGTGGTCAGGGGTAACTCCTGGTTCGTGCGTCGGGGATCCAAACCAGAGTGGCCCCGAACCAGAGTTATCCCGGATGATTCGGGCGTCCGAGATGCAGCACGATGTGGATCTCTATGTTGTCCACGCCGACGGCACGGATGCATCGCAGACGTCGCGTGTGCAGCGCCAGTGCATCGGGGATGCATTGCCGATACATCGCCGATGTGGCGTGATCCTTCGACCCCAGAGGCCTACAAAAATCCTGGCGGACAGCGTGACGCTTTCTCTTGGGCCTCTGGGTGCCGGTTTCGGGCTTCGTGGCCGTGAAACAACATTGCTGAGGAGAGACATGTACCGACACCCCTACCCTTCCCTCTGTGTCGCGTATTTGGGCCTCCTTGGAGGCTCTTGTCGCCACGGCTGGATTGTCACACCTGCAGAGGTCCAGAGAGTAGCGGTATCGTACCTTCCAGTTGCCCCAGTGTAACACGAAGCCAACCGCGGAGAACGCTCCAAGCGATCCAGGGGGCCGCGCGGCGAACAGCTCGCAGCGCTTGACGTCTGGGGAGGAGGGTAAGCGATCAGAGGGTCGGCGCTTGGGAGAGGTTGTGACAGAGGAAGTGGGTCCTGGAGGAGGGGTTGGAGCAAGGGGCACGTCCGAGGGAGGTGCAGGGGGGGGGGGCGAGGGAGGGCGACGACGACGAGAGGAGATGAGTCGACGACCTGACGTCGGGGTCCACCATTTGAGGTCGAGCAGGAGTTTGTCGCAATCAATGCGAGCCATAATTGCACACCACACGTGCACCGCAGAATCATACATGACACACATCGAGAGCCTGCGGAAGCATAATCACGCGTTAGTAACAATATGGTTGGTTATCATGGTAACACATGTGTAGGGCACGCATCAAGAACCCACATAACAAACACAGTTGACACACCAGGCGTGAAAACTAGCGAACGGAAGGCGCTCGCGCGCGGTCCCGCTTCCAGCGACGTGGCGAAGGGAGCAAGACGCGGGCCGCCCGCGCAGGGGCGGGAGCGGCAGAACTCCCGATGGGCGCGGCGAAGACGAAGCTGGCGCCGCGCCGAGGCAGCAAGTGCCGCTTCCCCGCGGAACCTGCGCGGTGCTTGGGCGAGGGCAGCATTCCGCCCGTCGTTGCGCGGCTTCGTTCTGCCGCTGCCGCTCTCCCGCGTGTCGGCGAACGGAGCAGGCGCCACGCCCACGCGGGAACGCCACTTCCAAGCGACATGTGCACGGAATTCGGACGAGGGTGACGAGTCGCCCGCTCGCGCGGGTTCCATCAATTCGATGCGAGTAAAGCATCTGTCCCGCGCTGTGACGTGAGCGCCTCTTTCAGGCAGGCGCCGTTGCGAGCACAAGATCTTCGTGCGCTCGCGCGTCGGCGCGTGCGAGAAATGTGCGCCGCGCCCCAGCGGGTGATGATGCATTCCCCCGCTAGGTAAGCGTGACGCCGAGGCGAGAACGACATTTCGCCCTTTCGCGCACGATGTGCGCCTGATCCACTCCCGCCACGCATTCTGCACCGCCGGTGCCAAAACGTCTCTTGTACTTCGAGGAAGTTGTTACTTCGCATTGTTTTTTTGTTCGTTTACGGGTTGACTCGGAAGGTTCGGATTCTCCATTTTACCGTTCGGTTAGGTGGCACAATCGGAGTATGTATGCGTGTACACATATATATATATATATATATAGAATGGCCTTCGGCCCCTCCAGCCACCGTGCGTGGGTTGTTGGCTGGAGTCGTCAGGGATGTGTCTTGGGGTCTCTTCGGGGCGCTTTTGGGGGCCTCCTGAGGCTTTTTGGCGGCCTTTTGGGGGGTCTCGGAACCGAGAGCTCGAACTGTCCGTTCGGGTCCCAATGCAATGCAGCGTGCAAGAAGCAATGGATCATCGCCTCCCTTCACATCCACATGGCCTTCCTGAAAGGGTTGACTTACCAGGAGTTGATGAGGCATTGGTGAAAAGGAACGCGTGGCGCGTTTTACTTCGCCGCCTGGATTGGCCACGGTGCTTCGAACCCCCCCAGGATTAGGAAACTACGACGAGTCAAAGCACTGCTTTCAGTGCCTCAAACCAGACTGGCAACAAAGACGCACCCCGAGCTTTCTAACTAACGCTCAGAAGGACCACGAGAGGTTTTGGTTTCAGACCCACGTCCTACGACGAGGAGTTCGAGGCGAGCAGCAACCTACTTATGGCCAAACATGTCGATGCGATCAACATGGCCAGCACTGAGGACACCATTGGCAAGTATGGCAAGCGCGTAGAAGGCATCTTTGGTAATACTAAACTCAACAAGCACACATGCACCAATTGTGCTATCATATACACCAAAGATGAGGACGGCAGTGTTACTTTGGACCAAGACTAAAGACGAATACATCAAGCAGCTCCGTCTTATACAACATCCTGAACTTACCGACGCCGACGTTGACGCCCAGGCATTCAAGATGGTTGCAGACATGTTCGTCAGCCTTAGAGGCTCGCTGGCGCATGCATGAATCACCCGGGTGTGGTTGATGTTGTATGTTGTGTCTCTACACCGGTTCCAAGAACCGACCGATATACAAGTGCGACGACTGAACGCGATCACCAGGAAACTGCGGGACTCCCCTGACCCCCTACGGGCGAGGTCGGCCTGCACAGCGACGCAAGTTACCGATGAGTGGAGACGCCGATGACGAAGTCAAAGGCCCTTTCATTCGCGGGGCAAACCTGCTACGGCGTGGAAGCACGCCATCTGGTAAGCCCGTCGTCCACTTGATCGATGCGCACTGCAAGTCTCACCGCGTGCAGGTCCGCCCGAGCTATTCAGCAGAGACACTAGCAGCTGCCCGCAGCTTGGAGGACTGCTATCCCACGATCGTGACTCTGCACGAGCTCCACGCAGGGCCGCTAACTCCCACCCAGTTGAAAGACATACTTGGGTTGGGTGGCCTGAGCGTCAAGGTCACTTTGGCCATAGATGCTGGGTCTGTTTTTAAGTCCTTGCCAAGCAGAAACTGGAAGAAGCCGATTGAGTGTACCTTTTCTGGACGCATCAGCTGGGTACGACAGATGATGGACCGAGGGATCGTGCACAGTATTCAGTGGTGCGCCACCAGCGATATGATTGCGGACGGTCGCGCCAAGGGGAGCATCGACAGAGAGATGCTCCTACAGGTCATGGGAGGTGTACCATCCTTCAAACATGACTTCAAAGAGTCATACTCCCTATCGGGCTGGCCAGACATCCCGATCTGTAGCCGCCTGGGGAGTATCTCTATGCACAGGATACTGCAGGCAAGGCAACTTGCGTGCGGGTCCACCTTCCTTACGGCCCCGCGCTTTTGCTGCCCTGTTTGTAAATAGTCGCTGATGTACCTGCTGTATAGAGGCAGCGGGTTCACGCCTCGTCCCCCTCCCCCCCGACTCTAAAGTGGGCTGGGCATTGCATGTGCGTGGGAACGAGCGTGCATCCGCGGCTGCTTGGCTCAAAGCGGCCGGCCGCCCAGACCTGACTACACCTCAGCGCGAGGTGTACCATTTGCCATCGATACCAACATTGCTTGAGATGGCTCGCCTCCTACCACTGGGACATTCGTTGCTACGGTACAGCAGAGCGGGAGTTTGGCTTCGCCTAAGGCGAAGCTGCTGGTTGGGCCCCCCGCCCTCTTTCAAACTATCGTAGCCAGTCAGGAGGCCTTCGGGGGCCGTCTTGGGGCACCCGTGCACCCTCTGCGGCGTTCCTGATCAATTATGGGGTTTGTTCCGGGCCATTTTCGACGGGGCCTCCGCCCCGAAGGCCCACGCGAAACCCCCCAATAGCGCCAGGCCCCGCCCGAAAGCGCCCTATAAGCCGGGTGTTTGGGCCCTCAAGAATGTAGAGTCTGGGCTGCAGCAGCACAGCTGTCAGCTTTGGGGCGCTCCGCTTCGTGCCCAGGGCACGGTGACGGATACAGCGTAGCATTCTGGGTGGCGACTATTCTAGACGCTCCGCGTAACCCCATCAGTCCATCCAGAAACGATGCCCAGACGAGTTGCATTGATCAGGGATGTGGAGTAGAACGCAACGGACTCAAGGGTAGGAGGAGAAAGGGGCGGAGGAGGAGGACGAGGAGCAGGATGAGGAGGCGGAGGAGTAGAGAGAGGGGGAGGGGGACGATGGATTTGGAAGGAGAGGTAACAGGCGGAGGAGGAGGAGGACGAGGAGGAGAAGGAGGAGGAGGAGAAGGAGGACGAGGGCGAGCAGAAAGGCTAGAGGTCTCATGGATGCATCTCGGAATGTCGTCGGCCTTCGTTCGTAAAGTTTCTAAGAGTTCTCTTGGAGCTCTTGGGGCGCCTTGGATTTTTCTGGGGCGGAGCTCTTGAGGGCATCTTGGGGGCCTCTTGGGGCACCCTTCGGAGCCGCTGGGGCTATCTTAGGGCCATTTTGGGAGACATCGAAAGAAACTCTCTAAACCACTCACGCCCTGAAGGGCTGGTCTGGCGGGATTCGAGGGGGGCGCGGGAGGCCGTCACGTCTAACACCTTGGGGGAGCCTGAATGGTGCTCTCACGGAGTCTTGGCAGCGTCTTTTGGGCGCCTCGGAGGTTCTTGGGGGGGACCTCACTGGACCGTCTGAGGGCGTGAAGAGAAAACTTCTGGGCGCTGTCGCAGTCCGTCTTGAGAGACTCGCTGGGTCGGTTTGGGGACCTTGAGGGCCGTCCGAGGGATTCCTTGGGCCGACTTGGGGTCACTGTGGACCGTTCTTGGGCCGTCTAAAGTGCATCTTGGAGCCGTCTTGAGCCGACGGAAGCAAGAACATGTGACAATGATAACTATCATCGTGCAGAAACACCATGAGGGGATTTACGAATTTGGCGTTTTCGAGCCCTGCTGGAGGTTCTCTTGGAGCCCTCGTGGACCGTTTTGAGAACCCAATAGGCAATATTGAGGTCATATTGTGTTGCCATCTTGGGCTGTCGTGGAGGCATCTTGGATCATCTTGGCGGCTGTGGTGGCCTGAGGAGGCGGAGGAGGTGGAGGAGGAGGAGGGGGAGGAGGAGGAGGAGGAGGAGGAGGAGGAGAAAGCTAGTGTGGAGGCGCTGGCCGAGCTCCGGCCCACCGAGTTGGACCTCGTCGCAGACCTGGGCCACCCCCGCCGCGCGGCCCCTGTTTCTCTTCTCTCAGGCGATCGCAAACATGGATCAAGGCGGCGTGGATTAGCGACGGGTCCCGTTTCCATGGGACATCGCGGATTGCCGTCGCCGATCGAGGCGTTTCGGGCCGCATTTCGGGGAGGGCATTTTCCCCGATCCGTGGATTTGGCGACCGCGCGCCAACTCCATGGATCGTTAATCCATGTTTGCGCGCCCCCGATTCTCTGGCGGCCATCGGACGCGGCTAGGACGAGGATAAATCCGTTCCAGATCGTTCGCAGGGCCGCGTCGTGCAGGGCCTCATCCTTGTCAGGAGGGGAACAAAAGCACACAGACACAATTGATCATCGATCCCAAGGGAAATTTAGGAACATATGGACAGTGTGGGGGAAGACGAACATTTAGAACATATGGAAAAACATAGGGGAATCATGGGATTTGTGTGTATTTCTGCCCAGGGCCGCTTTAATCAATCCGTTCCAGATCGTCCGCGGGGCCGCGTCGTGCAGGGCCTCATCCTCGGAATTGCCCAGCCGTGCTCCGGGGGAGGGGGGGAGGACGTTGGGGCGCGGGCCGGGGCGGCTACTGGCAGCGGCTGCGCGGGCGCTGGCTGGCCAGCCGCGGGTGGTGATGGGCTTTTTTCCACCCCCACCACCATAAGTTGGAGGGGAAGGGGGTCCTCCTCCTGCTGCTCCTCCTCCTCCTCCTATTCGTCCTACTCTTCATCTTCGTCCTCCTCCTCATCCTCCACCTCCTTCCCCCCTCCAACTTATGGTGGTGGTGGTGGAAAACAGACCCATCAGGTGGCGGTGCTTGTTGGGCGTGGGCGGATGGGAGGGCAAAAGAGGGGTCAGGCACGCGTAAGACGAGGATGGAGGATGGTGCCAGGCCTTCCAAATCCGGCGGCGAGTGAGGGGGGAAGCGAGAAGGAGGAGGCCCTCTCAGGAGGCGGCGGGACTCTGAGAGGTGCTTTGCGTCTTCGGGGAAGGCTCAGAAAACTAGGCCCTCGGATTTCCGAGCCTTTGAGAAGGCCTTCTCTTTCTCATTTCCTTCTGGGCTCGCAGCCGACATGAGCCCAGGCCGTCCAAATGAAGCCAGAGCAGATGAGGTCGGGGGATCGTGCTGCAGCGCCGATGTGGCGCGATGCGCAGCCCGATGTTTTGACTTCAACGTCGCCGATGCATCGACAATGCGGCACGATCCACCGACCCTCTCAGCTCTGGCCCAATCAGTTCTGGCCCCATATGAGAACGATATGAAGCCTCCAGGAGGGCCTGGGCCGCCTCCAGGTCGTCAAGGTCAGCTCGGGGCTCAGCACAGCTGTTGGTGGCTGCCGCTGGGGGCGCAACCTTGGCGACCGCCCTTGACATTGGCGACCGCCCCAGCAGCATCAATTTCGCTCTCCGGGCACGACATTGAGATCTTGAAGCAAGAAGAATATAACATTTGTTTTGGGAGTCAGTTAGCCATGGGCCAATTCCACAAGGCCGAGTTCGCGAGTCGTCTGGCACAGACGTTGGGAGATTTAGCGACATTCCAGAGTAGTGTGCTCGCGGACACATCTGGCAACGAATACGACTATGGTGATCTGGGTTGCTTGTATGGGTGTGAGTGTTGGACGATGGGCGCCGCTATTTTACTTAGATCCAGGGTCGCTTGGAGAAAGCTACGCTGCATGTTCCGCATGGCGAGAGTTGACGCTGAAAGTTGGTTATGTCAAATGAGACGTGCAACGTGACGAAGCGATGATTCTTGCAACAGCGATAACGTCAAGGATCGGGGCGATTCTCAAGCAAAAAGGGAAGGGCCCGATGCTACACGATTCTTCCTGGACGCCGATGAAATATGAACCAACATATTATTATTTGAGAAGGATTGGCTCGAAACTGAAGTCAAACGCTCATCGGCAGACCCAGCATGAAATGGGATGGCGCGGTTCATGAATGATATGGTAGTGGTTCTCCCTGTTCCAGCAAATACAGATGCGCCCACGGCGTGCGGCTGGCTGTCCCCCGTATCCTCGTCCTCCCCTGCCTCCTTTTCCTCCTTCTCCTCCTTCTCCTCCTCCTCCTCCCCCTCCTCCTCCTCCTCCTCTTGATTTTTTTAGCCGGCTGAGTTTTGTTTGTCATTGAACGCTTTTTCTTCCAACGCCCCGTCTAGGTGTATGTGTATGTATATGTATGTGTGTATATATATATGTGTGTCTATGTATACGTATATGTGAATTTGCGGGGCGATGCGCACCAACTAATCGCACTTTCCCGCGTGAGTTCGGTGCTTTCATTTTTCCGACGCGCTCAACGAACGGTCTGCACTCTGGGTGGCCCGACTTCCATTCCACTCCTTGCCGCCGCATGGGCAGACAGTCCCTGGACCTGTAGGGGCGAGGCGTGTTCTTGGCGCTCGCCTTCGGCATCCGCGTGAGTGGCCGACCCGCGGGCCTATGAGGTCTCGGGGCCGGCGGGCGCGATCTTGGCGACCGCCCCCTGTGGCCGCATGTGCCACAGCCCGTGAAACGTTGGGGGCAAACGGCATGGGAAGGGATCGTGGCGACCGCTCTTAGTGACCGCTGTGGATCGAACCCGGCGCATTCTGGCGGCTTGGTCCAGGGCGCGACCCTGGCGACCGCCTTCGGCATCCACGTGAGCCGCCGACCGGTGGGCGTCGGGCGTCTCTGGGCCAGGGTCCTGCCTCTCTCTCCTCTCTCCTTCCCGCCCTGGGGCCGCCATTCTTCTGTTGTTTGTTCGTCCCCGTGCTTCTGCGGCTCCAGCACCCGTCCCACTTCGGTTGGGCAGCGCGGCCGTTGGGGATGCGTCCGCTGCGCAAAAATCCCACGCCCCCAGCGGCCTCCCCTCCGCCCCCGCGGTCCCCTCCTTGATTCCATGTTTCCTTCTCCCCCCCCCCTCTGCCATCCCTCGTCTCCGTCACATCTCCTTCTCCATCCTTCCGGCCACTCCCCCTCTCTCTCTCCTCCCCGTGCATTGTTCTTTCTCTATTTCCCTCCTCTGTCCCTCTCTCTTCCCTCCCTTTCTCATCCCCCCCCCCCGTCTCCACCAACAGGCTTGCGCCATTCCGCCGACCCCAAGAAGAGGAGACGTACGGCTTCTGATCCCCCCCATGTCCCCCTTTGTTGCCCCCCATCCCTCTCGCTTCTTCTCGAGGCCTAGGTCACATGTCGGACGGCCGGCTGCCTATTTCAAGCGCGAGTTTCCTCACAGCTTCGACCGCTTCATCTAAAGCCCTCGGTTCAGCCGTGAAGGAAGACATCGAACCACTGATGCACTAACGGGATCTACGGTAGGTTTGCGTCGTGTCGACCAGCGGCGACTCCAGCGCGGGCGTTCAAGGTTGAACGCCGCCGGCGACCCAGAATCGATCGATGTTGAACGATCGGACGTTGCGGCAGCGGCCGATCGTTCAAGGTTGCGAGCAAGGTTGAACGATCCCTGCGGTGTCAAAAACCAACGCTGGGTTCGGCACGACACGAACCTGCCGTAGGCCTCCCCCATCGTCCCCCTTTCCTTCACCATTCCCTCTTCCCTCCTTCCCTCGCCCCACCTTCCCTCCTTCCCTCACCATTCCCTCTTCCCTCTTCCTTCCCTCTTCCCTCCTTCCTTCACCATTCCCTCCTTCCCTCCTTCCCTCCTTCCTTCACCATCGTCCCCCTTCCTTCACCATTCCCTCCTCCCTCCTTCCCTCGCCCCACCTTGCCCCGCCGAGCCTCGGCGGGCGCCCGCGAGGCTGCGGCGACGGCAGGGTGCTGGCGCGCGCGGTGGAGAGGCCGCCGTGCCCTCGGGGAGATCGCCCAACCTTTCTCGGGGAGGCCGAGGGATGACAGGGCGATGCCTCGGGGAGGCCTCGGGGAGATCGCCCAACCTTTCTCGGGGAGGCCTCGGGGAGGAGGACGATGGCACGACGCCGCCGACGACGACGGTGCCGATGCCGACGCCGAGGCCGACGCCGACGACGACGCCGACGACGCCGACGCCGACGCCGACGCCGACGACGACGACCACGACCACGACCACGACCATGACCACGACCACGACGACGATGGCGACGACGACCACCACGACGACGAGGACGACGACCACGACCACGGCCACGACGACGACGACAACGACCATGACCACGACCACGATGACGACTCGACGACCACGACCATGACGACGAGGACGACGACGACGACGACGACGCCGTCGACGACGACGACGACGATGACGACGAGAAGGAGGAGCAGGAGGAGGAGGAGGAGAAGGAGGAGGACGACAACGACTACATGGTCATGGACTGTTCCCTTCTGCTGCTGCACCTGATGCCCGCTGCCTGGGGTTTCGCGCTTCCCGCCTGGCTCACGCACTTCTCTCGCGTTTGTGGTCGCTCAGTGGGAGGAGGAGGAGGAGGAGGAGAAGGAGGGAGGAGGATAATGATGATGATGATGATGATGATGAGGAGGAGGAGGAGGAGGAAGAGGAGGAGGAGGACGAGGACGAGGACGACGACGAGGACGTGGAGGAGGAGGACGAGGAGGAGGAAAGGTGGAGTGGGAGGGATGATGAGGAGGGGACAGGGAATGGGAGATAAGCAAGAGGAGGAGGAGGAGGAGGGAGGAGGAGGAGGAGGAGGAGAGGAGGAGGAGGAGGAGGAGGAGGAGGAGGAGGAGAAGGAGGGGGGGTAATGGGAGGAGGAGGACGATGACAATGATGAGGACGAGCAAGCGGGGGAGAGGAGAGGGGTCAGGGCGGGGAGTAGGATGAGGAGGGGGGAGGGGAGAAGCATGGGCAGGAACAGGAGGAAGGAAGGGGACGGCGACGAGGAGGTCGACGAGCAGGAGAACGGTTGTTTGTCGTTGCCGTCGTCGGTGTCGTAGTCACCTTCTCCGTCCTCCCCCCTTCTCCCACCACCTCCTTTCTCTCGAGCTCACGCCTCCCGCCTCTCGGGTCGCGGGCCCCACCGAAACAGACAGGGCGGACGTTCTGGGACCCGGGGCGGATTGGAAATCTCAGGACAGGGAGGGCGCGAAGAAGGAGGAGGAGGAGGAGGAGGAGGAGGAGGAGGAGGAGGGAGGCGGGAGGAGGTTGGAGGGGGAGGCGGAATGATGTGGGCGAGGCGCAGGAGGCAGGAGGGCGAGGACGGGTTGGACGAGATCCTCCTCCTCCTCCTCTTCTTCCTCCTTTTCCTCCTCCTGGTCATTCCCATTTGTCATTTCACCTCCTCCTGGTCATTCCCCTTTGTCATTTCACCTTCTCCTCCTCCTTCTCCTCCTCCTCTTCCTCTTCCCGGAGTGGAGAAGGAGGAGATACGGTAGGTTTGGGTGGTGTCGACTTGCGGCGACCCCGCCATTGGCGTTTAGCGTTGGACGCCGCGGGCGACCCAGAATCTGTCGATGTTGAACGATCTGACGTTTCGAAAGCGGGCAACCATTCAAGGTGGGAATGATCCCCGCAGTGAGATCTAAATGCTACGAACTCACAATAGGGGACGGGGAGAGTGAGCATTGAGGCGTGAGAGGATGGGGGATGGAGTCGAAGAACCACAAACCGCATACACAGAATTTCTCGGAGGCCCGAACGGAGTTCTTGGATTGGCGTTGGGCCCCCCTGTCGGCGCCCCCCGCGCCGCCCCTTGGCGTTCTCCGCGCGACTGGGAGGTGGGTCCAGCGCCCATGCAAGAAATACGCGCGGGCCTCCGAGAAATTACGTTTGTGCCGTATGTTGTGCCCCTGGGGAGAGGGGGTACTGGAGGAGGGAGGACATGCAGGAGCTGGAGGCTGCCAAGTGGCCATTTGTCTCCTGTCGCGAGCGAGCGAGCGAGCAGCGGGGCGCGATGCTGGGCGTGGCGGCACGGGCGCGAGCAGGGCGAGCGGTACACAGAGGGAGGCGGGCAGTCTGGGGGGGGAGTGGTGCGGTGCCCAAGCCCTCCACGAGGGCCACATAGAGCACCAGGATTGCGAAGGCCTTACGGCCGGTGCCGCCGACCCTGAGGACGACGACGCTGTCCTTGACGAGGTCGAAGGAGGAGGAGTAGGAGGAGCATGAGGAGGAGCCGCATGAGGAGGCGAAGGAGGACGCGAAGGAGGAGGCGGCCTCTTCGGATATTCCTGGGAGGGTGGCGGCGGCGGCGACGACGCTGACAAGGGCCACATAGAGCACCAGGTTTTTTCTGAATTGCAGATTGTGGTCGAGGTGTTAGGCAGTTTTCACATCTGGGGGGACCAGGTTCTAGCAATCTGGGAGGTCAGGCGGTCAGGGTGGGAGAGGGAGGGGAGGGTGCGACATTTGCTGTGTGCAGCTGTCTGGGCACAGTCCTGGATACCAAACGCATCGCGCCGCACGAAAAGACTTTACCACAGCGTGAAGTTGATTCGCTCCCCACCTTTTCCTGTTGTTCAGCATTCCTCTCTCATCTTTCCTCCTTCCTTCCCCTCTTCTTTCATACCCCTCCTCCCGCTGACTCTTCTTCGCCCACGCGCTCCGGCGTATGGCAGTTCGTTCGATCGAGGCTCCCGCTGGCTCCTTCTTCGCTGAGTCATCCCACCTCACTTTTCTTCCCCCATCCGTTCTCATAGGTCTGCTTCTCGAGACGTCTCCGATGGCCCAACATCCAAATAGGTACGAACACGTCCAAAACTTCGATCCTGCCCCACCTCCCCTCTGCTCTTCTCATCTCCTCCCGCCCGTACGCGCTGGAGGAGGAGTAGGATGAAAACGACGACGACGACGACGACGACGACGACCAGGACGACTTTGGGAGGGTATATGGTGGCACAGGGATGAGCAGAGGAGATGGGAGGGTGGGAGGGATACTTCCTCCGCCCTCCACCCTGATCCTCCTCCCCTTCCCCTGGGCGCGCAAGGGTGGCGGGCCACAAAGAAAATGGAACGAAAATCGACGTCAACCAGATGTTCCGTGGATGGGTTGGCATTCCCCAGAACCGCTGCCGACTTGGGTTCTCCTTGCCCATCCCTGCCCCGTTCTTCCTCGCCGGATTGTGAATTGATTGTTTACCATTCCCACCCCAGCAAACGCAGCCCTCCAAACAACCCTCCGCCTCACCCTGCCCCTTCTCCACCTCGCGCAGCTTGCCCATCCTTCCCGCTCTCTGTCCTATCACGCCGTTCACGTGATCGTGGCCTGCGCCCTCCCGTTCGCCATCCATGCGCACCATGTCCACCCCTTCCCCCCGTCCCCCGCATCCCAGCCACCTGCCTATGTTGCGTTCTTTGCACACCCTGCCGTCTCTCCCAACCCTCAAGAGCTGAGTTTCGCCCAAAATCCCCCTGTAAGGGAACAGGCCCGACTTAAGCATAGGCTGGAGAACACATGAACGGAACAGAGAAACAGAGAGAGGCTTGGTCAACAACAAAAACAACCCTCAAGAGCTGAGTTGCTCGACGTCGTCGCACCGCCCCTCACTGCGCAATGAACATCCCGCAGCTCGAACGCTGTGGTCCGCCAGCCCCGCGGCCGCCGAAGCCGCTCTGCTGGGTGGCGAACGCCCCCGACCACCCGCTTGCTGGCGACCCTTATTGGCAGCGCGCGTATCCACATGGAGGTGGCTGCGCCAGCAGCCCCAAGCCCTCTCTGCAATCTAAATCCTTGGGCTCAACGCAACATTGGATGGGCACCAGGCGCCATAATTCAAAACCAATCTCTTGGCGGCTGCCCCTTGAGGTCCAGCCACCTGAGGACGACCCGCCCCGAAAGTCAGCACAATGTCTTAGAATCCGCCTCCCCCACTTCCTTCCTCTCCATCCCCCTTTTTCTCCTCCCTCCACCTCCCCTTGTCCTCGCGGCCTCCTTCCCTCATCGTTCATCCTGCTTTATTGCTTCCTCCTCCTCCACCTCCTGATGCGTCCTGCCTCCCTCGATCCATCATGCTCCCCCCCTCCTTCCCGCACAGACAGTGGAAAGCCATACCAAGAAACACCCTGCCTGCCTCCAGGGTGCCCTGGGTTTTTTGGGTTCGGATGGTTTTGCGACGGAAGGCGTGACGTTCCCACACCCAAAGTCCATGGAAGTCCTGGGGTCTCCAGGGCTGCGTTCCTTGTGCAAGGTTTCTGGTGGTCGAGTTCCTGCACACGGTATTGCTCCCCCCTCCTCCTCCCCTCCTCCCTCCTCCTTCCTCCCTCCTCCCTCCTCCTTCCTCCCTCCTCCTCCTCCTCCTCCTCCCCCTCCTCCTCCTCCTCCTCCCCCTCCTCCTCCTCCTCCTCCTCCCCCTCCTCCTCCTCCTCCTCCCCCTCCTCCTCCTTCTCCTTCGGCCTCCCCCCGGCCCAGGAAGGCCCGGAGGGGCCCCCTCCCCCCGGGGGAGGCCCGCCGCCCGATGAGAGGTCGGGATGCCGCGCGCTCGGGGTGGAGCTGGACCCCGCCCTGCTGGAGAAGGCAGAGGTTCGGCGGCCGTCGTCGTCGTCGTCGTCGTCGTCATCGTCGTCGTCGTCGTCGTCGTCGTCTCCGCCCTCCTCCCTCCCTCCCCTCCTCCCTCCTCCCTCCTCCCTCCTCCCTCCTCCCTTCTCCCTCCTGCTCTTCTGTGCGCTCCGGGCTCCCTGCGGGCGCGGAGGGGGGCCGCCTCCGCACTTTCCGTGCGTCCGCGGCCCGCCAGCGGTCCCCAATCTCACAGGAGGAGCGTGTACCGATGCCGTGGCGGTCGGGAAGTGTGCCCCATCCCCTGGCAGGAGCGCCGCGCCCGCCACGGGAACACCGTGCCTGCGCTTGCGCGCCAACGAGTTAAAAGTGATGGGCCTGTTTTCCACCACCACCACCATAAGCTGGAGGGGGAGGGGGTTCTCCTCCTCCTCCTCCTCCTCCTCCTCCTCCTCCTCCTCTTCCTCTTCCTCGTCATCCTCCTTCCCCCCTCCAGCGTATGGTGGTGGTGGTGGTGGAAAACAGGTCCATCAAAAAGTGCACGCCCCTCTGCGACGGGGTCTTTCAACGAGGGGTTCACGGCGCGTCCGTACCTTTGAGTATCGCACATCGCTCGCGGCTGGGAATGCGGGGATCGCGCGGCGCTCTGCCGGCTCTGGACCACCACGCCGCGGCGCGTCACGCTCACATTCCGTCGGCGCTCGCGAGAGCTTTTGGGCGAGCGTGTCGCTCCGCCAGATCTGGCCCACCACGCTTCGGCGCGTCGCATTTCCCTGTGCGGTCGAGAGCTTGGAGGCGGCGTGTCACTCTGCAGGCTCTGGCGCACGCTTTCCACTTCCGCGTCCCGTGGCGTCAGCGTCCCCATCATTTCTTGGCCCCCCGCCCCGCGGACCGGCACGACACGCTGTCCGCTTCCAGGCATAGCGTGTCCCCGGGGCCGGGTGGTGACATGGTAAGCAATCGTTCTCGACAGTAGAAAGCCCAGGGTTCGTTGGGCCAAAACCTTTTTGAGGAAGACCTCCGAGAAGCCTGCTGGAACCCCCCCGGGATGGTTTTCGGAGGGGGTCGGGAAGGTTTCGGTCGTCTTCGGCGGGGGACGCCAGTCCCCAGCCAACCCTGGACGTTCTGACGATTCCACTACCGTTGCCTCGGTTGTGGCATTTTTGGGCTTTCTGGGAGGCTCTCGTCGCCACGACTGGATTCGCCTCGGTGCTGGTCACCGCGCACCCCGGCCTTCCGTTTTGAGACACGAAGTTCCACGGATCGGTTCAGTCTCTGTGCTATCAAACCTGGAGGGTGGCATGACCTCAGCCAGATTCTCCAAGATAGCATATTGGATTAGGGCCAACACCCATCGGCGGCGAGCCCAGGGGGGGAGTGAGAATGGGCGGGCCTTCTCAGAAGGCTCGGAAGTCCCCTGCCTTCTGAGAAGTCTCCGAAGCCTTCCACGAAGACGCAGACACTCCCCTAGAAGGCCAGGGGGCTTCTGAGAAGTCCCGCCGCCCTCTGAGAAAGCCTTCTCCTGCTCATTTCCCCCCATCGCTCGCCGCCGAACCAAATAGTGAGACTAGAAAGCAACTCCTGGGAGGTGTCGGCGCTGATATTTTCGCCGTCGATAGTCGGCTCGATCTGGGCGAATTTGGCATAATTCAGTGCACTGCCGCGCAATCCGGCCTAATCCAGCTTGATCTCGAGCCTAACTTGGCCTGATCTTAAAGGGCACCTCAATCGGGCTGAATCGCCGCGAATCGTTCTAACAAGAACATCCCAGGAGTTGCCTCCCACAGGTGCGCATGCCAAGTGCGCATGCCCGGCGGGAGCGAGGCCTCTCGCCCAGGGGCGCTTTAGCTTCGAGCAGGCGCAGAGTTCCCGGGGGAGACCGGACCCGCGGGGGCGGCGGGCGGGTCGGGTCCAGCCCGTCGGTCGACGGCGCGCGCACAAAGGGGTGGCGCAAGGGGGGGCCGCTTCTGGGCAGCATTGGCGCTGGTGCTTTTCGCTCTGCTTACCCCGAGCACGAGGGCCTCTGCTCCTTTCGGCACCCGGCATGGGCTGCCCGTCGACTGCGCCCTCGGCGGCCCTCGTCGAGGACGTCCAGGGGCAGTTCATTGCTTCTTGGGGGCGGACAGGCTCAAGGCCCTCCTTCTTCCTCCTTCTTCCTCCTCCTCCCTCATCCTCCTCCCTCTTTCCTTCTTCCCTCTCTCCTCCTCCCTCTCTCCTCCTCCCTCCATCCTCCCTCCTCCTTCCTCCTCTTTGTCCTCCTCCTCCTCGTTGTCAACATCTGGCTGGCTCTCCGAAGGGGGGGGGGGGGCGGTGTTCGGAAGGGCTGCCCAGGGGTTGCGTGGTCCGGGGTGGTTTTGCCCGCAGCTGCGCCAGGATGGGCCTGGCCGGGGCTGCCTTCGGCGCTCTGACGCCTGCGGGAGGCGTTGGTCAAGCAGTGGCGAAGCGTCTTGGCTCGCCTATAGGGCTACCAAACAATGTTCTAAGAACCTTTTGTGGTTTCCAAGAAATGTTCTTAGAACAGTTCTGGCCGGGGCTGTCTTGGTTTACCACATTGGGTTTTATAGTATAAGAACATTGTTTTGTTCTGAGAACATTCTGGGTTCTAAGAAAATTTTGTGGTAGACCTATAGGAATGCCGGGACAGTCGGTCCCTGCTCAAGACAAGGGGGCGTGCGCGAAATCGTCTCCAAAGGAAAAGGGAGTTGTTTTGGCCGCGCAGGTGGCGCTGCGCGCCTTCGTGGTCGTTGCCCGTCGTGCTTTGTCGTGTCTGCGCGTAGCGCAACATGTCTGTTATAACCCATGCCAGATAGCAGCTTAATCCATTTCTGTGCAAATGCAAAGCGAGTGCTGTCCCAATGCGACTTCATTCCTGCGCGAGCTCCAGATTATTTCCGCACGAACACCACATGAGGCACGAATTGAGGCGCGAAGTTAATTCTGCTCTGCGCGAGCTGCGCCACGAAATGCCGCACGGAATTGCCTGTACGAAACTGTTGTGCGAATGTCTGAGGCGGTTTCTGGTCTTTGTGGGCGCTTGCATGCGCGGCCGGGCGCTCGCAAGCGAGTCCGGAGAATTAATGTGGGGCCTTCTCGTGCTACCGTTTTGGGCGGCAAGTCCAGTCCGGGGCCATGTCGTGCGGGGAATTTTGCGGGGGGCCTTTCGCGCTCCTGCCTCGCTCTCTCCTTGCCGCCCATGCTTGTCGGCTGCCGCTGGCGGGCCGGGTTGTGTCTGCCGCGGCGACGACGTTGGGAGGGCGCAGCGCTGCTAGCGCTGATGGTCGCAGCGCCGGCGGTTCGTGCGAATGTGACAATGGTGACTCGGGGGTGGACAGAACCCCCAACAGTGACACGTCGATTAGTGAATTGTCAGTTTTCGGTTCTCGAGAGGGCGCCGTGGCCGTTATTTTCCAGGCTTGCGCCCGCCAGGTTTGGGCCTCAGGTCGTTTTCACTAAACCACGTTTTACTAAAGGGGGGTCTGTCCATCCCCGAGAGACAAGGCGGCGTGATCCAGGAGGGAAAGAAACACACAGACACAATTCATCGTCGGCTCCCCAGAAAATATAGGAGAATGTGGGAATTGGGAGGGGAAGACAACAACCCAGAAAACATAGGAAGATATGGTGATCTGTTCTATTTGTGTGTATTTATTTGTGTTTCCTGGGGCCCCTTCAGTGATCCAGCGCCCGCACCACGTTGGGCGGGCTGCCAGGGGTGTCCATCCCGCCGTGCCGCAAATAACTGATCACGCGAATTTGCCTGGGGCGCCCAGGCAATTTCGTGGCCCATTTTGTGCCCTATTGCGTTCCCTCAGTGATCCTTCCCTGTGAGAAACGGTGCCGAGGCTCGTGGTCTGACTTCCGCTATTTCCTATGCCCGCGTCCACGCTTCCCTTCGTTTTCCTTCCGCCCTTCTCACGGCAGGGTGGGCAGAGAAAGGGGGATCTAGAAATTGAGAGGGAGAGGGGGAGACGGGGAGAGATATTGTGATAGACGCAGGTATGTGTATATATATATATATATAGAGAGGAGCTCATAAGCTTCTACCTTGACGGTTAAGCACATCAGCGATATCGGAGCTGGAGTCTCATTGCATACTTGCTTGTTGCATGATGTCTCTTGTGCTAACTCGGCAACCGCTCGGGCGGATGATGCTACCCTTCGCATGCTACGATACGCAATTTTCAATTGATTAGTTTAGAGGTCTTATCCCTCAGCCTCTGCCACTTTTTCTGTCGTGCGGGATTGTTCGGATCATGTGTGTTCGATGAATGTGCATCGGGTACATTCTGCAGTTGTTCGTGTAAGTGCTGTTGGCAGAGACACAGTGCTCTCTTCACGACATGGATAGTCAATCGCAGGTTCATGGATTGAGCAGGTGATTACTCGGCTGCTTTAGTGTGGGAGGTGAGGACCCTCGGGGCAACGCTGCACGATCCAAAGTTTCTTTGTCGTTTCCAGCGTTCTCGCGTATATGAGGCAACTTCGGTATACTCTGATGAGATGGAGGGCCAGTGCCAACGTACTTGTCGAGCATAAAGCGGCACAGTATCCGACGTGACCACCCTGCAAGTAACAGTGAGGGAGTTCAGCACCACCTGTTGGCAAGTAGTTTTGGTGCTCTGGCGCAGACTAGATATACTTCAACTGATCCGGCGTGGGACCAATCAGAGTGGGGTGGCTCCATACAGCCAAGCAGGATCACAGGGATGAGTTATTTTTCAAGGGTGTCTTTGCGTCCTTGCCTCTTCGGCCGTTCCTGAGGCTCTTCGGCCCGCCTGGTGCCACTCAGAAAGTTCAGCATAAGCGTCCAAGACGCCTGGTTCCTTCCCTCGTGTCCTTATGATCCGTTTTGATTGTGGTATTGTTCGCCAGGTGACAGACAAGATTCTGTCCCCAAGCCGGTAAGATCTGGTCTGATTCGCCTTCAATTTCTTTTCGCCTCTGTTTCTTGCGTATGCATATCCTCACCCGGTCCTCTTATCATTCCCATTCACCTCCCCAACCTCGTCCTCATCACCATTCTCCTCATTGCACTTCATCATGCTTGTCACGATTGTGTTTCTCATCCTTTCCCCCTCTGCGCCGACAAGGCCCTGCTGTCTGAGCGTCTGCCGCCCGCGCTGCGTGGACTCGTTGAGCTTCGGCAGGGCGACCTCTTTGAGGAGGCGCCCACGGCTGCCAATGAGGGAAGGGGGGAACGGCGACGACTGGGCATGGGGGTCAGAAGGCGAGGACACGCAGTCATGGGGCAGGGCTCGAGCTGAACGGTGTTTGGGTGATTTCGTGGAACGTTTTCGGGTCGCATTTGTCTTGCAGCAAGGGCAGAACGAAGACAAGACGACGGAACACGAGAGCAAACCGAAAAGGAACAGCACTGCTTAGCCCGAGGCTCGAGCCCTGTCGGGGTAAGGGTGCGTGGATTGGCCGCGGGCCCGCTCCCGTGCAGAGGTATCGGCGCGCACATTCGCTGGGTCGGGCGACACTGGCTCCGTGTTGCAGGGCCGCGCCCATGTGAGGCGACGACAGGGGCGAAGAGCCCAGGGGAGAGCAATACATGTATTCAGGCGCGCCGATAATCTATGTCTTCGGGAAGGCTCCCGGGCGAGTACGTGTCATGCCCGCCCCTGGGCTATTCGCCCCTATCGTCGCCGCCGAGATCCACGGATTTGTAAAGGCGGGGCGCTGAAGCAGGAACCCTTTTCGTTGGGGAGGGGCTCCGTGATCCTTAGTTGTTTTACCCTGTGCCTTGGGTTTTACTGAGGTTTTCCATGGGAGATCGAAGTTCAACTTATCGGAGAAAGGGGCCCTTGTTCCTTATTTGGGGTACCTTAGGTCAACGCCCCAACTGTACGGTGGGACCGAGGCAAAAGATCGAGGCCGTCTCGGAGAGGGCACCCTGATGTTCTTCGTTTTTGTTGGACGTTCTGGTGCATGGAGGAGGGTAATCTCGAGGGTTATTCAGTTTGGGCTGGCGGAGGGTCTCATGTTTTTGTTGGCGGTGGACAGACCCCCCACCCTGGAACGTCGATTAGTGAATTGTCCGTCTTCGGTTCTCGAGAGGGCGCCGCGGCCGTCATTTTCCAGGCTTGCGCCCGCCAGGTTTGGGCCCGAGGTCGTTTTCACTAAACCACGTTTTACTAGAGCGGGTTCTGTCCATCCCCGATCTTGAAAGATGTTCTTCTGTCCTTGGTCCGGCTGTAGTCCATGTTCTCGTGTGACTAAAGGGGGTTCTGTCCATCCCCGATCTTGGAGGATGTTCGTCTGTCCTTCGTCCGGCTGTAGTCCATGTCCTCGTGTGACTAAATGGGGTTCTGTCCATCCCCGATCTTGGAGGATGTTCTTCTGTCCTTGGTCCGGCTGTAGTCCATGTTCTCGTGTGCCGGAGGGCGAGCGGGTCCACAGCCGAGCAGTGGGCGGCCTGGCCAGGTGGTTTCTGCTGGGGGCGCCCGGCGCGGGAGTGTCAGCAGCGGCGTTTCGTGCATGCGTCTTCGGGGCGGCACGAACGGCCCTTTTCCTCAGTCTCGTTCCACTGCAGCTCTTCCTCATCGAACCACGTGGGGCCTTGCCGAGACCCCCTGGAACCTCTTTCTTCGTCCTCCAGGAGGAGGAAGCGGAAGGTTCCAGGAGGTCTCGGCAAGAGGAGCGGGGTGGAGAGGGAAGGAAGAGGGGGTGAGAGGGGAGGAGGGGAGAGAAGAGGGGAGGAGAGGTGGCGGAGAGGAGGAAGAGGATGGAGGAGAGGGGAGGAGAGGGGAGGAGCGATGGATGAGGAGTCCTCCACCTCTCCTCCCTGTTCCTGTCTCCTCCCTCCTCACTCCCCACCTCCTCGCGCGCTCCCTTTCTCTTCCTTCGTCCTACGCTTCGTCCGCCTCCTGCTTCATCCTTCTTCCTCCCTCCATCATCATCCCCCCCTCCAGTTCTCTCGGAGGTGACCGCTGGGATTTAGCTACCACGGCGCTGTTTCCCGCATGGTCTGTTGTTGTGTTCCTTGTTAATTTACGTCGGTGTCGTGGCAGAGGGCTCGTTTCCTCTCGCGGCGTGGAGTATTCAGGCTAGCCTGGCCCAGGCCCACGGGGCATGCAATGCATTTGTATTCCGAGGCTGTTTGGTGGCGTGGTGTGTTTTGTTCACTTCTATTGTTTAATGAGTGCCTCCTTATACCACATCTTATAGCTTTGAGGTGTCAATTTTCTTGTTCTCGCCTCCAGGGAGTGTGCTATAGTTTCGGGCTCGCGGGCATTGGGTGTTGGGTGACACCTTTTTATCTACAGTTGCTATCCGGTGCTCGGGTTCGTACGCGCAGGTTGTGCTCGGTGGCCCCAGGCTCTGGTATGTTTGTCTTCGTGTTGACTGCCACACAGTTCTACTTCATTCTGTGATGGGCCTCTTGCTGCTGCTGGTGATGCAGGCCGTGGGGCGTCTTCGTGTTCGGGTTGCTCGAGGTGGGCCTCGTCGTATATTCCCACGTATACGGCGTTGATCTATAAGGCGGGTCGGCATCAACCTCGTTCTCTTCATGGTGGAGTCGCCTGCTCGCGACCAGAGGTGAAGGGAGCTGACGCGTCAAAAAGCATTCCGCCCTCATCTTCGCCCTCGCCACCCCGTCCTCCTCCTCCTCCTCCTCCTCCTCCTCCTCCTCCTCCTCTTCCTCCTCGCCACCCCCGTGCCCATCTCCCCCGTCGCCCACCCGGGCCCAGAGGCTGACGCCTGGTCGGCCGTGGCCTGCGCCGGGGACGGCGTCGGCGAGGGCCAGGGCGGGCCGCTGCCGACCATCGTGGCCCTGCCGGGGGGCGGGGCCTTCCCATCCTCCCGTCCTCCCTCCCATCCTCCCCCGGACCCGGCCCTGCGGAGGGAGCGAGGTGTTATCGCGAGGGCGGAGAAGAACAGGTCAGCGTTCGTAGAGTTGATAGTTTGTCCTCCTCCTCGCTCTTCCTCCTCCTCCTTTTCCTCCTTTTCCTCCTCCTCCTCCTCCTCCTCCTCCTCCTCCTCGTCAGCTCCCCCACCTGGATGTGGGCATCCGCAGTTTCGCCGTTGGCGTGGCTGCGCTTGGTCCGAGAGCGTCGTGAGCTCCCTCGCCAGCAGGTCCCGCACTGTTGGTGTTGTTGATTCAGTTGCAACAACTCATCTTCGTCCCTCCTCATCCCTCTCCTCATCGTCGTTCTTTCTCCTCCTCCCCGCTTCTCCTCCTCCTCTCCCTCCTCTTCGGTCCTCAGGCTCAGGCTGCGGACGCTTGATCCCTGTGGCATGTGCTGCCCTCGATCCCCCAGCGCCGAAGGACTTGAGCGGGCTGGGATGGTGTATGAACGCGGGCCGTTTGCGGCCGCCAGATGACTAGGGGGGATCCCCGAGGCAGACGGACAACAAATGGGACGACACGAGGGGGAGTATCAGGAGGACAAGAAGGGAGGGGGAACAGAGGAGGGACCAACAGGAGCAGTAAGCACGACGGAGCGGGGCGGGAGGAGCAGGGGAAGGGACCCCCCAAGCCCAGAAAGGCCCACGCAGCACCCCCAGAGGAGAGCGGGAGGAGGGGGAAGAGAGGAGGAGAGGACGGCGGGGGGAGGGGGAAAAGAGGGGGGTCTGCGTGGGCGATCCCGGTCTCGGGGATCTCCTTAGCTGAGCGCCGGTCAGCCGCCCTCTCCTCCCCAGACTCCATCCGGCCCCGTCCCCATCCGGCCCCGTCCCACGGGGCGGTGCCTGGCCCCGTCCCCTAGGGTCCATCCCACGGGGCCCCGTCTCCATGCGGCCCCGTCCCCAGACTACATGCGGCCCCGTCCCCGTCCCATCCCCATCCGGCCCCGTCCCACGGGGCGTTTTCTGGCGGCCGCGCGCTGGCCTCCTCGCCTCGGGCATGTACGGCCCAGTCGCATTGCTCGAGGTGGTCACGATCTCTCGGGTCTCACGATGGTCAGGGGAGCTTCTCGCCGTCGGTGGAGACCATGGGCAGTGGCACAGCTCACTGGAGCAGGGCGTCGAGTACAGCGGAAGAGACGTGATGGTCGACTTGGCACACAACGGCGCCCTCAGAGACGAACGACGCGCAGACGGCGCAAGTGTCAGCCTGGGACCCGATCTGGTATAGCTGATGCCATGATGTGCGCAGCGGCCCCAAATGGGTCGTTCGGGCTCTAGCGCAGGGTCTTTTTGCAGGTCTTCCAAGGGCATACTGTAGCGCTCCGGGGACCTGCAGAATGTCGTAGGTCACCGCAGACGCGACGGCTGCGGCAGCACGCTCTCCAGCGCGTCTGCGGGCATGCCAAAACGGAGACTTCTCGTCGCCATCCTGTTGCTGACCATGCAGCTCGGTAGCCTCGCACTCGATCTCTTCCTCCGTCTCGCCCTTCTTTCTCCTCGCCCTCCTCCTTGTCTTTCCTGGCCTGGTGGCAGTAGCACTCCTCCTCTGTGATGAGCTTGACCCGCGTCTTGGCGCCCCATAGCAATGTGTTGTTCCTCTTCGCAGCGTTTCTCACGGCCGCAGCGCTGGATGCGTAGGCGGCAAGGATGGGCTTTTTGTTGATGTACACGTTGTCGATCTGACCGAAGAGGGAGAGTGTGCCCATGAAGGCGGCCGTGTCCGCGCGGCCCTCGAGGAAGATGGCGACGCAGATGGTCCAGTCGGCTGCGACCAGCGGCTCGGGATTCCCGTGGCGGATCCGGCCGCGGCGACGGGGGAAGGGTACTCGGCGACCTAGCCCGAAGGGCTGGGCCGAGGGGGCCGCCGAGGCCATCTTCAGAGGGGATACGGTCAACCCGCATGGTAAGGATGGGCAACCTTCCCAATGGTACCCTGGCATCCTTGCCCCTTCGGCCCATCCTTGGCGGCTTTCGCTGGCCAGCCTCGTTCGAAACACGTTCGCGTGGCCCTCCAAGGCCCTCGCATCCTTACCGCGCATCCTCATGATACGGGTCTGCTGCAGGATGGCGCGTCGGCGACGGGCCGCGGCGCGGCCCGCGCGACAGAGACGGCCGCTTTTACGGCAGGCGCTGCGGCTGTCCGAGGGCGGCCGGCTGTCTCCAGGCAGCCAGCAGCGGCCTCCTTCTCCTCGCCCTCGGCGTCGCAAGCCACCCCTCCGGTGATGCGGGACTCGCGCTGGCGGGCGCCTGCTGCTTGGATGGCACTCTCGGCGGCCTTCGCGAGGTTGGCCTGCGCGGTGCAGGCGACGGACGGGCGACGTGTAGGGTCGCAGGCAGCTAGTGGCATATGGGGTCGCTGCCCCGTCGCCATAGCAACTGATGTCCTGCCGATGGCGTGTCGGTGTTGTGCGGCGGAATTGGCGTTTGCTGATGGGCTGGAAGCCCTGCAGCATGTCCTCCCTACCACGATGACGCTCAAGAGGATGGTCGCGACATCTGGCGCGCAAGCAGCGGCTGTGACAAAGGCGGTGGCCTCCCTGTGGGGCGCCCAGTTGTCTGGCTCTGGTTGTCTGGCACGGGGCCCTGGGGGAGCCCAGGTGGCTCTGCAGACTCCCCACTCACGGTTCCCGTCCTGTGGCCCACGGTGCCTTGAAGGAGCCGAGGTCGCTTCGCACTCCCCCCTCGCACGTTTCCCGTAGCCTGTGCCCGTCGCTTACTCGAGACCTTGACGACGTCTTTCAAGGCGGCGAAGCCCAACCAGCGCTGTGCAGCGCGAGCGGGTCTCGGCAGGGGCCCTGTCGGAAAGTGTGTACCTCGTGGAGCAAGGTCGGCTGGTTGGCGCTGGCAGCGGCGGACTCGGTCGCGTGCGCCGTGTCCTCCACGGCCCGGGCCGCGCCTTGTCGCCGCCCGTTCGCCCTGTGCGGCGGGGGCCGGCTCGGGCGCACGCGCCTCTCCTCGCTCCTGTTCCTCCTCCTTCTCGTCCCTCTTCCTCGCTCGTCCTCCTCGCTCGTCCTCCTCCTCCTCCCTCTCCTCCTTCTCCTCCTCCTCCTCCTATTTCTCCTCCTCCTCCTCTTCCTCCTGGCTTTTCTTCCTCCTTCTCCTCTTCCTGCACTCGCTTGACTCCATCCAGGGAGGCTTCGACCTCTTCCCCCCTCCTGACCTCGACGAGTCTTAGTGAAGAAGATTGCCTTCTCTACACTCGCCACCCGCGGCCTCTTTCGTAATCCCGGCGATGTGTTGCCCCGCTCGGCTCGTGAGGATGCTGAGGGGCATGGGGTCGAGGTGGCTGTGCGCGATTGCGATTGCTCTGACAAGACTGACTGCATAGGCCGCCAAAGGAAGACATGTCGTTGATGGTTCCTGTGTGTCCGCCACGGTTCCTGAGGTATCCATCTGGCTGGGGGGTTGTGGGGTTGTTCTGGTTGACGACGAAGGCGTGGAGATCGCCCGTTTCAGTTGACAAATTTTGGACCCGTACCCTCAAACGGCCCAGGCTGGTGAGTTCGGAGCCCATGCTGTCGCTGTAACGCACGCTCTCCGAGGTTGTCCAGGCCAGAGAGCCTCTGGTCAGAGCCATCAGTTACGAGCGTTCTTTCGCGGGGTTCCTGTTGCCCACCCATCGGAAAATAATCACGTGGCAGTATCTCTCTCGACCTGAGTAGCCACGACAGGCTTCTCAAGGCGGGCAATGACTTGATGGATTCGGTCGTCAAGAGTATTTGTGTGAGCAGTGGGAAACCGACCCCAGCCCCCAAATTCATGGATTTCGCATGTCAGCGTTTGGGAACTGGTGCGGGCGTGCGTAAGCGCAGGCGCCTTGTAAGCGAGGCCTTTGCCAGCTGCCGCAGGGGTGGGGCCCGCGTTCCCAGCTACTCCCCGGGCCCGGTCGACGCGGCCGCGCCCGCGCCGGCATTCCCCTGGCCGCGGCGTGCAGTTTGAAACGACGGTGGCGCCGTCCCTCGCCTCGCAGCGCCGCTGGCCAAGCCGGGCCTCCGCGCCCCCGCCTCGGTCGTTTCCTCGTAACCCCGCCGATGGACAAATTTAGATCGGGCGCGATTCTCCTGAGGCAGCTGGTCCAACATAAAGTGTCTGGGCGCGTTTAAAAACAAACACACACACACACACACTTATTTAATCGCTTCGCTCATTCCGCCGGCCCGTATTGGTGCACGGCTGTCGAGTGCCCGTGTGATTGTTGTCAATGGGGTGTTGCTGGGTCGTTTTTTGTTTATGGATGGCTGGCTTTGGGTGATTTCGCAGGCGGGAACTATTCTTTGCCCGCCTGAACCTTCTGTTTCGGAAGGTAGCGGCTCGTGAATACGATCGCAGGGAACATGACAACATCCTGCAGTTTCCTTGTTGCATTTTTCGGGCCCCCTGTCGCTTGTTGGGGCCTCTTGGGGGCCTCTTGGAGCCTCCAGGAGGCCTCTTGGAGCGGAAGGCTCGGATTCTCGGTTCGTGGTATCCATTTTGGGCCTCTCTTGGGGCCCTCTTGGTGGGATCCTTTTGGACCGTCTTGGGCGCCTCGTGGGCTGTCGTGGGGCTCTCTTGGACGGTCGTGGGCCTCTCTTGGAGGCCTGTTGGGCCGTCTTGGGGTGGTTTTGGAGGCTTCTTGGGCCGTCGTGGAGCGTCGGAAAGGCGAAAAGGCGAGGAAGCCAAAACCTTGAAAAACCCGATGGGAATCAATGGCTTTGGCGCTCTGCGGCTTCGTCGACGTTCAGTGGGATCTCATTGGATGCCTCTCGAGGGCTTCCTGGAGACTCTCGGGAGTCGTTGTCGGGCCTCTTGGGGTCTCTTTCGGGCCCCCTCTTGGGGCCCTCTTGGGGTCCTTTTGGACCGTCTTGGGCGCCTCGTGGGCTGTCGTGGGGCTCTCTTGGACGGTCGTGGGCCTCTTTTGGAGGCCTCTTGGGCCGTCTTGGGGTGGTCTTGGAGGCTTCTTGGGCCGTCGTGGAGCGTCGGAAAGGCGAAAAGGCGAGGAAGCCACCAACCTAGAAAAACCTGATGGAAATCAATGGTGTTGGCCTCTTGGGGCTCTCTTGGAAAGGGTCGGGGCTCTCTTGGGACGTCTTCGAAGCTTGTTGGGCCGTCTTGAGGCCGTTTTGGGCGTCTTGGGCCGATCGTTCGGTGATTCGGAACCCTTTTGGACCGTCTTGGAAGCCTGTTGGGGCCCTCTTGGCGCGTTCCGGGGAGCGTGGAAGGCCGCACCCAGGAGGAAAACCATCTCTGACCCGAGTTTGCCGGGAGTGTCCCGGGACCTTGCCGGGATACTTTCTGGCCGGGGACCCCCAGGGGCCGCTCCGCGCGCGCGAAGTATGGAGTTATTGTGAGCCAGTTGCCGGAGATCTTGGCACGCCTGTGGCCCGTTGGGCCAGCGAACTAGTTGATGCCGATTTTTTGGGGGCGCGTCCACGCGAGACTTCCCATTATCAGATCGATGCAGTGTATTCGGAGGGGGGAGAAGCGATACCAACACCACCAGGGGGCCCACCGCCAGCGTGGAGGTCCACGATGCCTCTCCGAGCGGTAGATTGGGGATGTCTCGAGCGAGAGGGGGGACCACACCACTGGGGAGACCCCCCTTGCCTCCGCGCATCTCCTCGCCGTGTTGGTGTTGGTGTCGCCTTTCCTTGTTCCTATGTATTGAGTTGGTTCAGTGGGTTTTGGGGCGGATCTGACCGTCCCCATGCGCGCCAGCGCGGGACGGGCCCCGCGCGCCGCCCAGGGTTCCTGGCAGGGCCGCCGAGAGCCGACGCGCCCCTTGGTGGCTGCCCCGCCGCGAGCGCGCGACTATCCACGATGCCATTGGGTATCGACCGCGCGTCAGCACAAGGCGACGCCAATTTCAGACGCCGGCGCAGGGGCGAGTTTAAACGAAGGATTGCCAAAAAACCAAGGATTGCCAAAAAACCAAGGATTGCCAAAAAACCAAGGGTTTTTTGGCAATCCTCCGGCAATCCTTCGTCCACGATGCCATTGGGTATCGACCGCGCGTCAGCACAAGGCGACGCCAATTTCAGACGCCGGCGCGGGGCGAGTTTAAAATATCATATAGGCTTACGCCGCATACGCCACGCCCCCTGCGTGTAGATAGTGTCCTATCGTTTTTGGGGGCGCTCAGGGTATTCGTGGTATGGATGACAGCGCGGGGGTGGGTTTGTTGATGTTTGCGGGGGCATGCTGGGCCGCTTGGATGCCGTCTTGGGCGCCTTGGAACGATACTGCAGTGAACCAGGGCCCCCTTCGACCGTCTTGGGTGCGTCTTGAGGCCCTCCTGGGTATCCGCCCATGAAGGGGGGTCACTGGGGGGATGGTAGCGGGGGGGAGGCAGTCTCACGCGTCTAGCGACAGGACCAAGGACCTACTAGGAAGGAGGAGTGGGGAAAAACGGAAAAGAGGGGTGGCGTGGGGGACAAGGAGGACGAAGGATGATTTGGAAGGTGGCTCGTGGAGCCCGCAAGAGCGGATAACAGCAAGGGCAGCTCAGGAGGAGAAAGGGTGGGCCGCGGGCCCTTCCGACGCCGTCGGAAGCTGTTTGGGGGCCTCGCTGAGCCGGCTTGGGGCCCTCTTGGAATGCCCCAGGGCCGTCCAGGAGGCCGTCTTGGGCGTCTAAGATTCACCACCCACCAAACCACCCCAACCCAACCCGAAGGCTCAGATTTACTCTCGATTTCCAGGGGGGAGGGGGGGGGGGGGCGGGAAGCATCGAAAAAACACACGTGGAACCCTTACCCCCCCCAACCCGAAATTCGGGTCTTCGGGTTGGGTTGGGGTTGTCTGGTAGGTAGTCAAATCGGGTCGGGCGAAAGGGGGGGATTGGGAAAGGGGGGGTTACGAAATTTGCTGCATGCAGCTGGTTTCGGCCTCACCGAGGGGCCCATTCCTCGATACATGGCCGCCTCCGGCGCCGGGAGGCGCCGGGAAAATCAGCTACGTGAGCTGATTCTCAAACCCCCCCTTTGCTACCCCCCCCTTTCGCCCGACCCGGTAAAATGCCTTCTGGGCCGTCTTGGGGGCCTCTTGGGGCCGCCCCAGGGGGCCTCTTGGGCCGTTCTGGGGCCATATTGGAGGCCCCTTGGGCGATCTTTGGGCGATCATTGGGGGCTCTTGGGCCGTATCGGGCCGTCGGAAGGCCGAAATGAAGCATATGTCAAACATCTTTTGAATACCTATGGCAAGTCACTGTTTTTGGCCTTTTTCTGGCATTCCTGGAGGCCCTCTTGGAGGCCTCTTAGGCCGTCTTGGGCCAGCTTCGAGCCAACCTCGGCCATCTTGGTGGGCTCCTTTCCCGTCTGACGCCGTCGGAAGCCGTTTGGGGGGCCTTTCTGGGCCGACTTCGGGCCCTGTTGGGGTCCTCCAGTGCCGTCTTAGAGACCATCTTGGGCGTCTATGAGGCCTCTTGGGTCGTCTTTGTGCCCTCTTGGGGCCGTTTTGGGGGCCTCTTGGGCAGTCCTGAGGCCATCTTGGAGGCCTCTTGGGCGCTGTGGGGGCGATCTTGGGGGCATCTTGTGCCGTCTTGGGTCGTCGGCAAGCCGAGAAGAAGCGAATGCCCAAACCCTTCAAACACATAGGAAAATCAATGATATTGGCCTCTTCGGGCCCTCCTGGAGGACCCCTTGGAGGCCTCTTGGGCCCTCTTGGAGGCCTCTGGGGGGCCTCTTGGACCGTCTTGGACTCTCTTGGGCCGTCTGGGAGGCCGTCTTGGACCATCTTGGGCGGACTTGGAGGCCGTCGTGGACCCTTTTGGAGGCCATCTTGGGCCAACGTGGCCATCTTGGAGGCCATCTTGGGCCATCTTGAGCGAAACAATTAGGAATTGTGCTCCTTTCGGGGTGGCCGGTGGGACGGGCCGAAGCCCCAGGGGGAGTTCTTTTGGGAAAAAGCAAAAACCAAATCCGAAATCCTCTAGCACGCCAGGCCCCCCTGCGATGAATCGACAGGGGGCGGCGGATTTGATTGGCCTTTGGCCCATCTTGCCACCGTGCCTGGGTTGTGGATGTTCGTTGGGATGTCGCGGGGGGCCTCAGGGGGAGTCTCTAGGGGGCAGTTTTGAGTTATTTCGGCAGCCGTTTTGGGGCTTCCGTAGGCGTATTGGGGGCTTGTCGGGGCTTCTTGGGAGCCTCTTGGGGCCTCCTGGGTGCACCTTGGGGCGGAAGGCTCGTACTGTCGGTTTGGTACCTTTCTTGAGGGCCCCTCTTGGGACCGCTCTGGGGGGCCATCTGAGGCGCCTTTCGGGTCGTCTTGGGGTCTTCACGGGCCGTCTCGAGACTCTCTTGGGAGCTCTTGGGCTCTCTTAGGGCGGTTGTGGGGGGTCGTGGGCCGTGTTGAAGCGTCGGAAAGCGGAAAGTTGAAAGCGCCGTAGATGCTAGAAGTGTACGGGTCCCCACGAGAAGTTGACGAGTTGGGCCTTTGGGGGCCTTCTTATGAAGTGTCTTGGAGACCTCTTGGGGGCTGCCAGGGCGTCTTTTGAGCCGCCTTGGGGGCTATCTTGAGTGTCGGGAGGCTTTCGAAATCGTGGAGCTTTCGGGAGCCATCTTGGAGCGGCAAGGGGGCCCTGGGGAGAGCCCGACCTGCTCGTGGGGGGCCGGACCCCCTCCCCTGGTGAGTTCGGCCGGGGGTCATTAGGGGCTTGTGTGGGGATCAAATTTCGGGTTTCGAGGCCATGGCGGGGATTCTGCGGGGGGGAAAATCCTACACGCCCAGAGGCCCAAAAGGGGTTCGGCGGATTTCTAAGACTGTCGCCAGTCTTTCCTGTGATAGTATGCCTGCCTGGCCGCGTCTGCATCTTAAGGGAGTGGTGTTGGAACAGAAGGCCTGATCTAGTAATCTAGTCGGCCTCAGGTCCGTGTTTTGTTTTTGTTGGCACTGAGTCGCGTGCTTGAGGGCTCTCCGAGGCGTACGGACACCTGCCCGCGGAATCGTCACCCTACTTACCTTTTCTCTTCCTTCGCGTGGCGTGTGCAATGAGTCCCTACTTCTTGATCCAGCAGCGCGCGCCCTTCAAAAACGTCGTTGCTTGGCGCTGGCATGCCCTGAACATGCAGTGCGTGCTGGTTATGTGTGTGAGGTGTTATGCCTACTCCAGTCACGTACATCCCCGCAGTTTGCATGGTGAATATTATGGCGGGCCTGGGGTCAACGGTGCCAAAACTATTTGGGCTGTTATTTGCAAAGGGAAACGACCCGAAAGGAAAAATGTCACGGTCGAGCGTGGTCCGTGGTTTGTGGTGTAATTTCTCTTCGCGTGTTGTTCTCACAGTGCTGCTCTCACAATGTTTTGAGTTTGCTCGCGGGCATTCGATGTTGGTTTTGAGATTCCCCCCGTCATCGAGGTCTTACTTATGGTTTTTGTTTCTTGGAGGGTTTCGGGCTTCCTTTATATGAGGGGGAACCCGGGGCTGACCCGCGCTTTCATGACGGCTGGTGTTTTTCCCCATTCTTCTCCCTTTTCGCCTTTCCCTCTCCTCATTCCTCGCTCCTCCTCATCGCTCCTCCTCCTCCTCCTCCCTTCCCTCCTCCCTTCCCTCATCCCTTTCTCCCGCCCTCATCCTGCACTTCCTGCTCCTAGCCCCCCCCCTCGGTGCTCTACCTGCTCGGGGACGCCCTCCGCCGGCTGCGCGGGCCCCTGGAGCCGCTGCTCGCCACCGGCGCGGCGGTGTGTACGCTAGGCGCGTGGCCTCGGCGCCCCCCCTCGCTCGGGAGGGGAACAAAAGCTCACAGACACAACTAAATGTCGACTTCCACCATAGAACATGGGAAACTATGGGAAGTTAGGGGGGTAAACGAAACTGAAGACGAAACGATAAGAAAAGATTGGGAACCCTGGGATCTGCGTGTATCTTTTTGTGTAATCCTGGGCCCCTTCACTCGCGGCGGCCCATCGGCAGCCCCTGCCGCAGATCGGGTCACGTGACATGGTGTGGTTCCGTATACAGCAGACACATGCGAGCTGTACACGTCTATAGATTGCGCGGCCGGTGCGTTCGGCGCAGTACGAAGTCAAAGGAAGGGTAGATCCGTCTACGGCATTTTCTTGATCTAGAGATAACCAGCCTTAAAACATTCTATCCTCATGATGGGCATCACCTTACCTCGATGCCGATCTCAATGATGATTACCTCAGGTGCTGAGGACGCAACCCTGAGAGTGTCATCGCCTCTTGGCATACGAATCCTACGGCTACAGGTAAGGTCGGGGCTGGTTAGGAGCTGGTCCCACATGGGCGACGAACAAACAAATGGGTCCAACTGCGCCGACATTTGACGCGTAAGTTGCCCGCGTAAGGTCGTGCGTAAGCGCCCTCGTCTCCAATGTGGCGCACCGCGCCGGCAGCCCGCGCCAGCCGCCGCGTTAGGTCGCTGTGCCACCTCGCGCAAGGCCCGTTTCTGATCGTCGCCCGCATGGTGTCTCAAGCCCGGTGGCCCACGGGCCCCCGAACGGGGCCTCGGCGGCCCATCGGCGGCCCTCTGCGGCGGCCCCGCCGGCCTCGGCGGCCCAGCGGCGGCCCATGGGCCCCGCCGGCCTCGGCGCCCCAGCGGCGGCCCCCTGCGGCGGCCCGCGGCGGCCGCCCGCGGTGGCTCGGGGCGGCGGCGGCCCGCGGCACGGGTCGAGGCGTGCGGAGGCCACTGCTCGGCGTCGGGGGGAGGGGGGGGGGGGGGGCGCCTCTCGGGCCCCCAGGAGGAGGAGGAGGAGGAGGAGGAGGAGGAGAGGAGGGGGAGGAGAGGAGGAGGAGGAGGAGGAGAGGAGGAGGAGGAGGAGGAGAGGAGGAGGAGGAGGGAGGAGGAGGAGGCGGAGGAGGAGGGGGGGGGGCGTCGGGCACTCGGACGGCCAGAGGAGCTCGGCGGGCGAAGGGCGGTAGAGCACACAGCGTCTGGCCGTCAAGGGGCGCCCGTCTCGGGGCGACTGGGAAGTGCATGCCCCGACGTGCCGCCGTAGGGGTGCAAACTTTGCAGCCGCCTTGGGACAGGCGCTCTCAGGCGCTCCCAGGCGCTCCCAGGCGGTTCCCGCGCTCCCAGGCGCTCCCAGGCGCTCCCAAGCGCTCCCAGGCGCTCCCAGGCGCTCTCCGGCGTTCCCAGGCGTCCCCGACGGCGAAGCCGGATGTTCTCCACCGTGCTTCGCCCGTTGAGAATTGAGGGGGGCGTCTGTCCTTGCCTTCGGGATCGGCGTTGTCTTTCCGGTTGGGGCGCCGTGCTTGTCACGTGTTCGGGTCCAGGATCGGTCCGTGGATCATCTGTTCGTTTTCTGTGCGTTGCCATTGCGTTCTCAATACGTATTTGAGTGCCACAGTGCCGCATGCCTGGAGGCTATTTCTTTATTGCTTGGGGCATGACGGGCGTCATGGCCCCCGCTCCCCCCCCCTATGACGTAACGCTCCCCCCCCCCAGTGCGCTCCAGGCACTGCCGCCGTGCGCATTGGGATCCGCGTAGGTGTCCGCGTAGGAATCCGCATAGGTGTCTGGTCCGCAGGCGTCGTCATCGTCGTCGTCGTCGTCGTCGTCGTCGTCGTCGTCGTCGTTCGTCGTCGTGCGCGTGGACGCGGCTGGAGCCTATTTGTAAGTCGGGGCCGATGACGGCAATCATCTGGGGGGGAGGGGGTCGATGACGTCACTTTTCGCGCCGGCGGCGTTTGGGAATGGTTAGGAATGATGGAGGACGGGTAGCACGAACATGTAGGTGGCGATATGCACCACAACGCCTGTGTACATCACAGTGCCCGCGTGCACCACAGCGCCTGTGTACACCACGCCGCCGATGTACACCACAGCAGCCGCGTGCAACACAGCGTCAGTTTGTGCCACCGTGCCTGCGGGCACAGCAGCTCCTGTGTACACCACAGCGCCTCCGTACACCACATCAGCCGTGTGCAACATAGCACCAGTGTACACCACAATGCCTGCGTGCATTGCAGTGCCTGTGTACGCCACGGCGCCTGTGTGCACCACATCAGCCGTGTGCAACACAGCACCATTGTTGTGTATAGAATTTCAGAAGGAATCCTTGTGACAAAATGGAACGTGTGTGGATTCCACAGAAAAAAATGGAAAACAAATCCTCATGGACAAAGGAGCGCCGCTGGAATCCACGAGTCCCCCGGAGTCCGCCCGCATCACCATAACTCCCATTTGCGTCCAGGAGGCTCCAGCTAAACTGGCCGTCCGAGAACCACGTGGACCGATTCAATCGACCATTCTGCGGTGCACGCTGAGATGCGCACGTGCGTTGTAACGCCAAACCGCACGACAGGGGATAAGAAAGAGGAAAAGGAGGACGACGAGGAGGAGGAGGAAGAGGAGGAGGTGGAGGAGGAGGTGGAGGAGGAGGGAGGAGGGAAAAACGCTGCATTCGATTATCAGAACTTTCCTGGCGTGGCGTTTAATTGTCCGCATCAGATTCTGACGTACATGCTCCTTCTACTTGTCCTATGTACGCAGGCGCTGTGGTGTACACCAGCGCTGCGTTGCACGCGGATGCTGTGGTGTAGACAGGCGCTGTGGCGTGCACAGGCGCTGCGGTGCACGCAAGCACTGTGGTGTACACAGGCGTTGTGTTGCACATGGCTGCTGCGGTGTATGTACACCGGCGCTGTAGTGCTCCCAAGTATTGTGGTATACGCGGGCGTTGCGTTGCACACGGCTGTTGCGGTGTACGCAGGCGCTGTGGTGCACGCGCGCGGTGTGGTGCACGCGAGCATTGTGGTGTACACAGGCGCAGTGGGCAGATCGCCACTTACATGCTGCTCGCGTCGTCGTCGTCGCTCGTTGCTCGTCGCTCGTCGCGTCGTGCGCGCGGGCGCGGCTGTGGTGCCGGAGCCACACGGCGGGGGGGGGGCGTCACGTCATACCCCCCCCCGCCTTCCCCCCCCCATGACGCTCGTCATCGCCGAACATAATGAAACGCCTTCCTGGTGTCCACATTTTACGATGTCGTTTTTTAGAACGCCCTGGTAGAGTAAAACGTCCCCAGCGCTTTCCACAGCCAATAAGGTCTTGCATCGATGCGTTCGGCTTTCGATCATGGCCACCTCATTGAGATTGGTCTGATTTTTAGGCGCTGCGTTAAACCCCATCAGCCCATCCAGAAACGGTGCCCAGGCGAGTGTCTTTGATCAGGGATGTGGAGGAGCATGCAGTGGAATAGAGGGCTGGGGAAGCCGTCGTACCTCACGAAGGGGAGGATGGAGGATGAATCGGAGAGGAGGGAGGAGGGGAGGGAGGAGGAGGAATAGGCCCCTCGTTGAGCGCAGTCTGTAGTAAGGTTTCGCGCGGACGACCGCCAAAGACCGGTGATTGCCACCAAAGGCCGCCGATCACAGTTGGAAGGCCGCCGATTAACGCCGAACGCGGATGGGTAACGGGAGTTCATGGCCGAACGCGTAAGATCCGGGGCGCAGGGCCAGTTGGTCAGGCGCGGACCTCGAGGCGTCCTGAGATCGATTCTGTACAGACTTGGGTACGGGGTCCTTCGGCGGCCCTTCCGTGGCCCTCGGCGGCAGCGCGGAGGGGGCGGCGGCGGCGTTGTCGTCGCAGCTGTCGGCCACCCTCCCTCCTCGTGATCGTACCCCCCGCCTGTTCATCCTGGCCGTCGTCGCTGTCCCCCTCTCCTCCTCCCCTAATCCTGTCCCATCCTTATCCTCCACCATCCTCGTCATGCGCCCCCCCTGATCTATCTGGAATGATTTAAACCTATCCTGTACTCTGCACTCAGAGGTCCTGACGTCGATCGTGCGAAAAACACGTAGAGGCGCGAACTCGTTACGAATTTGCGACCTCTTTTGGAAAGTCAGGCCCTCCCCCCTCTTCTTCCCCCTATCCTCCTTTCCTCGCTTCCTCTAACCCCTTCTTATCCTCCCTCCACCTTCATCCCCTCCCTCATCCTCCCCCTTCCTCCCTCTCGCCTCCTCCCCCTATTCTCCCATTGTCCCTCACCCTCGGTAGTTTGAGCTCCCGAGGGTTTTGGCCCTTGGGGAGAAAGGAGCCACGGAGCAGTCCGAATCGGACGACTGCTCCGACGGGAAGCCCAGTCTTTTTACCATCCATCACCACCACCCTCCTCCTCCTCCTTTTCCTCCTCCTCCTCCTCCACTTCCTCAATCCTCTCCTCAATCATCCTCAATCGTCCTCGTCTTCCCCCCTTCTCCCTCCTGTCCCGACACCCTTTCGGGGACTAATGGCCCATGCTCGCAGAGCCGCACCTATGACCTATGGGAAAGTGTACGCAGAGGTGCATCTCCCACCGCAGAGTTTCACAAGCGCGTTCATCTGAGGCCCTGCGGTGTCACCCTCCCGCGCTCCGCGCTGGGCTGAGCACTGCCCGACACGTGGCGTCAGCTCCGACCTGAGCGGTTCGTAAGTTTGTTTTGACCTTCGCAGGGTGTTTAAGTGTGTCCCTCCTGTCCCCTCTGGGGTGGCGAGCAGTGGTGGAGGACGCGGGCCAACGACCCCTTGAACTCTGCGCGCCACGCGCCCCGCGCGGCCGTTTGGCGATCGCGGCCTCGCGCGCAGCGACGAGACCCTCTTCCTCCTCCGTCTCCGACTTCCTCCTCCTCCAACCTCCTCCTCCCTCCTCCCTCTCTGCTCCTCCTCATTATCCTCCTCATTCTCATCCTTCTCCAACCTCCTCCAACCTCCTTCTCCTCCTCCTCCTCCAACCTCCTCCTCCTCCTCCTCCTCCAACCGCTTCCTCCTCCTCCTCCTCCTCCTCCCCCTCCTCCTCCTCCTCCTCCTCCTCCTCCTCCTCCTCCTCCTCCTCCTCCCTCTCACTCGCGCACATGCCTTGGCCGCCCGAAGCTGGCTGATGTTGCCTGCTTCAGGAGGGATCTCGGCAAACACCTGGCCGCTTCCACCCTCCACTGCTTGCACTCCGCCTTGGAGAAGACTTTGGAGCGTCCCTCCCCCGATCCTCTCCCTCATGTCCTCTTCCCCCCCTGGCCGCAAGAACGAACGCATCTGAAGCATTGCGGTGATCTCCACCGACGCCCCGCGCGCAGGTTTGGGCGCTGCCCGAGATTGGGTGTCTGTGTGCCCTTCCTGTTCTCCACGGTTATCCAACGTCGTTTTCTTTTCGCAGGTGGTTGGCCCTCCAGAGGTCTGGAACCCGTGACGGGGACCAGATCTTGATCCCGAGCCGCTTCTTGTCGGCGCCGATGGGCCCGGCGAGGGCCCCCACGCACGCGAGCCATGCATCCTGCAGGACGTGTCGGCACGACAACCGTCTGGCCGTGGGCTCAACGATGATTGCGAATCAAAAAACAAGCCAGCCTGGCAGTGCATCGACCCTCTATGCTGCAAGGGCGCCCAGAGGTCGCAAACTGCCGACGGAGTCTTGCCTCTGACGCACTTTACCCGAAGAAGGAATCGACGCCATAAGCATACACTTTTGGCGCTCCGCGCGGAGCGCCCAACAGTTTATTGTCATGTTCTTCTATCTGCGGCGCAGGTGGAGGCCGGGGTTAAGTCGGGCGTGTCCGTCTACAGGAGGAATACTCAAAAATAGTAAAACATAGTCTGGGGACGATTTATTGTGTATTCTGAACAACTTTGGACTATTACTTGACAATTTTCTATTTTGGGGTATTTTTGATACTATCTCAGTATATTTGATCATGTTTTGCAGTTTCTTCCAGTTTTCGTCCAAAATCCGCCTGTGGGGGGCCGCGCCCGACCTGAGGCCAGGGCATGCCAGGGTGCCCTCTCTTTCCCCGCTCGGCCGCCCGAGGCTGGGAGCTGCCCGGCTGGCCCCACTACGAGTCCGCCCGCGGCCAGGGCTGGTACGTCTACCGCGCGCCGTCGGCGGCGGGCGGGGCGCCGGCCGGCGCCCAGGGAAGCAGCTCGGATAAGAAAAGTGGGCGCTGCGTAAGTCTGGGCCTCCTAGTTTTCCAACCCTGACACGTCGACTAAGGAATTGGCCCGGTTCGGTTCGCGAGAGGGCGTCGCGGCCGTCATTTTTGCGGGTCCAGGTCCGTCGGTTTCGGTCCCAGGCCGTTTTTTTTGTCATTAAGGGGAGGTTTACTAAAGGGAGGTTTGTCCACCGCCGTTAGATGGGGTCGGAGTAGATGGGGTGGGAGGATCGCGCCGCATCGCCGCTGCATCGCCGATGCGGCTCGATGTGCAGCCCGATTTGCGTCAGGTTGACGTCGCCGATGCATCGCCAACGTGGACGATGCATCGCCGATTCATCGCCGATTCATCGCCGATGCATCGAGGATGTATCGCCGATGTATCGGCGATGCGGCGCGATCCTCCGACCCCATCTACTCCGACCCCATCTAGGCGGTCTCTAGTAAGGGGGGGCGATACATTCGGATGCGGCCAGGAGGGGGGTGATGACAAGATGTGGGGAGGGGGTATCATGGCGGGGGCCATGATATCTCCCCAGACTTCATGGCGCCTCTTCTTAGCTCAAAACGTCATGCCGCCGGGCATGATTTGCGCCCCCCCCCCTCTTGAGCGCCACCCTCTGGGACGCCCCTGATACAAGGGGGCGGGGGTATCGAGGCTCAAGAGATGGGGGTCCATGCAAACGGGGGTCAGTCCGGATCTTGCAGGATCTTGCACAGCCAGGGGTGCACTGACCCGGGCTCGGGTCCTGGATCCTGGAATCCTGCAGGATCTTGCAAAGTCGGTCTGACCCGGGTTTGGATCGACCTGGGTCAGGAGATCCCCGTGGGCAGCGAGGGTTTCAGAGAAGGGGCCCTTTAGGGCCCTTAGAGGGGCCCTTCAGGGCCCCCAGAAGGGGTCCTCTGATGCCTGAAAGGTGGACCTTCCCCCCCCATCTGTCGCCCCTCCAGTAAGCGGCGCGCAGTCGGAGAAGAAGAAGCTGCACGACAGACACTTGCGAAGCTTCGCGCGGATTTCTTGCATCGGCGCTGGGCGCCCTCGCGGTGCCTCGGGCGCAGCCTCTGGCGCAGCCCCTGGCGCGCTCCGCGCGCCAGGGGGGGGATCCAGCGCCGATCCAAGACATCCGCGCGGCCTTCGAAAGGTTATGGTTATGCAGATGTTGGTTCCTCAAAAAACGCTGGCGGCGAGCGAAATTTGGGCAGCCTCTCCTACAGAGTGCGAGGACGAGAGCCCTCGCTCTGCATCTTGGGGGGGCCCTGCCTGTCCTGTCGGTGGCGGTCTTGGTTGTAGTCATGTTACTGAGGTCTTTCTGGAGGAATCGGTTTGCGTAACGCGGTGTGGATGTATTGCGATGGGCATGTTGTGTTGCTGTCAGTTGCAATGGTATATGATGTTTCTCTGGCTGGGGAAATATGTTTGCGCGTTGCTGCGCGGATTTTTGGAACGGGGGGACTCGTTTTGTCGCTAGTTCTAGTGATCCTCTGGAGTTCGGCTTGTGGGATCGGTTTGCGAGGTGTTGCGCGGGTATTGTAGCAAGGTGTGTGTGCGTGCGCTATCGTTTTTTGCAATAGTTGTGCAGGTCCAGCTGGAGGAATTTGCGAGGCGTTGCGTGGATACTCTCGAGGGGGATTCGTTTTGCTGTTTCCAGGGGGAATCTGTCTACGCGGCGCTGCGTGTATATCTTGGAAGAGGGCATTCAGAGCGTCATCTTGTCCAAGCGATAGTTGAAGGTTCGGCTGGGGTCATCTGTTTGCGCGGCACTTCGTCGATATTTCAGGGGGATTTGTTGCGCAGCTCTTCGTGGAAATTCGTTGTGTCTGTTGTTGTATCAGTATTAGCAGGTCTGGCCGGGGGGATGGGGTTTGCGTAGTGTAGAGTGGATATTTCGCTAGGTCCGATTTGTTTCGTCCGTTGTTGCAGTGATATTCGGCCACGTTTGCTCCACGCCTTCCCCCGCACTCGGTTCGGATTTTTCTCGTCGCTGCGACTAAAACGTAACGATGTTTTCAGGTCTGGCTGGGGGGATCTGGTAGCTTGGCGCTGCGTTGATATGTTGGGTTGTTGTAGTGATTTTCTTCGATCCAGCCTGGGGAATCCGTTTTCGAAGTGCTGCGTGGATCTTCTCGGAGGGGGATTTGTGTTGTCGTTGTTCTTTGTAGTGATATGTCAACGTCCAGCTCGGGAAATCTGGTTGCGTGCTGTTGCGTGCATATTATTAGAGGGGCGAATCTGGTTTGTCGTATGTGGAAGCGGAATTAGAAGGGTCGGTTTGGGACATTTGTTTGCGTGTCGCGAGGGGGAGATTCGTTCAATCGTTTGTTGGATTATTTACGAAGGTCCGGCTGGTCCACATGTTTCACACGCCTTTCTACGCCCAGCAAGCACGGGTTCGGTGGATTTGTGGATTTCCGACCCTCCTGTGTTGGGATGTCGTGTTGATTGCGGTCTGAGTTGTGAGAGTGCGTGCGTGCGCGGCGCTGGATGTGGTCCGACACTGGTCGGCGAAGCGTTCAGGAATGGTGCAGATTTCCGAATGTGTTCTTGTGTATGGGGCGCTCCTGTTGATTATCGCCTCGCGCTTGGAAAGGGTTGGGTACAGTCGGGGCGCTGAAGAACGAGCCCTTCTCGTTGGGGAGGGGCTCTGTGTTCCTCCATCGTTCCGCACCTTGCCTAAGGTGTTTCTTATGTGTTCGATGGGAAGTCGAAGGTTAACTTATGAACGAAAAGGAACGTCGTTCCTTATTGAGGGTTCCTTGGGTCAACGCCTCGACTGTACGTGTCGGGTAAACCTTCTTCGATACATCCAACACCGTGGCTTCGACCCTACTCTGCTCGGCGCGGGCACGAGGACAGCGCTCCGCTCGGCCCCCCCCCACAGGCTCACGACAACAACGAAGCCTGCGCAGTTGGCAGCACCAAGCGGGCGAGGTCCCGTCTGCATCCGCGTAGGGCCTCATCGGCGCAGTGTGACGCCTCGTGCGCGGCCACACGGCCACCAGACACGGGGACGCCCTGCGAGCCACCTGGAGGAAGAGGGAGGAGGAATCAGGTTGGAGGGAGCAGGAGGAGGAGGAGGAGGAGGAGGAGGAGGAGGAGGAGGAGTCGGATAATGGAGGGCACGTCTCGGGGAGGCGGAGGGGGAGAAGTTGGAGGCGGAGGAGGAGGAGGAGGAGGAGGAGGACGAGGACGAGGACGAGGAGGACGAGGAGGACGAGGAGGACGAGGAGGACGAGGAGAACGACGAGGAGGAGGAGGAGGAGGAGGACGACGAGGAGGAGGAGGACGAGGAAGGCACGCCTCGAGACGTCGGGCCGCCGACGCTGACGCGCGCGGCCGACGGCCGCGCGCCCAGGAAGACGCCCCGGCGCTGGCGGCATGCGCTGCGGCTTCTGGACGACTCGTGGGCCCCTCGGGCGGGGCGGGGCTTCGCTGGCACGACTGGGGTTCGGGGAGCTTGGGTGGCAGCGCCGAAGGCAACCTGGGGTGTCCGAAGACAACCTGCTTCAAGGCAGTTGCGTCCGAAGGCAACCTGTCCTTGAACGGGCTAGGGACTCCCGCCTTTCTGAAGCCTCTGACGGAGAGGAGCCTCGGTCACCAGCTCGTCGCAGTCGCTGTTTCCAAGCTCGCTCCAGTCTCCAAGGGCCCCGCTGGGCCTGAAGAGGTTCTTCGTGTTTCACGATTGTTCGTAAAGTGTTTTTGGGGGTGAGCCATGAGAAAGCCATCAAATTGGCGAAGTGATGTGCCCCCCCACCCATCCAACCCGAACTGGGTCCGAGGTCCTCTCGAGATTCAGGGGTGGGCTTGCCTAGAATCCTTGAATTCATGTTGCCATCGGTCGGGCGATTTCTGCTCAGCGTGTCGGTGTGGACGTCGCGTCGGCTCAGCGTGGTTCCCTACGGGCAGAAAGTCACCCGCCTGCAGCAGCATCTCGTGCTAGGGGTTCGGGTCTATGATTTCTTGGTGGGTGCACCTGTCGTCAGCGTGGGGGGATGGCGCCCCTCCCCGTGGCTGAGCAAAACCCCCCCTGATGGTGCACCCTCCAGGTTCTGTTCAGCGGGCGCGTAGCTCTCCCACTGCGGACACGTCTCCGGGCGCCCTCTGTCCTCTCCCCGTCTGCCTCCTCCTCCTCTTCTTCCTGCTCCTCTGCCCTTCTGCCTCCTCCTCCTCCACCTCCTCCTCCTTCTTTTCCCTCTCCTCCTCCTCCTCCTCCTCCTCCTCCTCCTCCTCCTCCTCCTCCTCCTCCTCCTCCTCCTCCTCCTCCTCCTCTCCCACGTCGCACCCCGACATTGTCGCGTCGCGAGGAATCACCACGGAGGGGTTTTGACAGTCTTCGGCCACGGGGGGTCCTCGCCAAAGGACGACTCGCGGTCATGAGTTTGCCTGTGACATGTCGGCATTGCGTTCCTCGTCGAGTGGCGATCGTTTCGGAGCTCGTGTGCTCCAGGGCCCGCCTTGCTCTTCTCGACGAGCTGGCAGATGAGGCCTCCCTGGGCAAGATGGCTCCTCTTGCGTTATCGTGCCCTCCCTCTGGACGTTCACCGTTGCGGTCGGCCCTCATCCAGGCATGCTCCTTCTCGTGCTGCACAGTTGGCGATGCACCTTCTCCACGTCAGGCTGCAACAGAGCAAACGCTAAGCCCTGTGGCCCGTCTGGAGTTGAACGCCCCGCCATCTTTCTACTTCTGCTCGTCCCGCTCTCCGCCGTAGGGCTCCAGAACAATGGGTGGGTCCATAGCCACATCGTCCCTGCGATCCCCTTGTCCCGCCCTCGATTCCAGAATTAATCCGCCCCCGCAGTAAGTAGAGTTTCCCCATCATCTTTCGCCTCCTTCACTCAGCCCGCAGTGAAGATGAGCGACTTTCCAAGGTTACCCTTGTATCCTTTCCCTTCGGCCCATCCTTTGCCGCTTTCGCTGGCCGCGCATCGCACGCAGAGTGTTGGCATGGCCGTCCAAGGCCCCTGCATCCTCATCGCGCGTTCTTAGTACATGGGTTGACTGTACTGCTCCTCCAACGCTAGAGGCCCAAGGCTGAGCCGTACCGCGGCTCCCCAGCCTCCCCCCTCTCCGCTCCGCTGGTCTATATATTCTCTCTCTCTTTTTCTCTCTCTCTCTCTCCCTTACTCTCTCGCCGACGACCTGCTTCAAGAGGCCCAGAACCCTCGCCGACGATCTGCCGCTCCTCCGCCGCGGGCCCCCGCGGAAGTGCGAAGTTCGAGGCCGGGCCTGATCCACACACGCTGGTCGTTGAAAGTAAGTGTTCTGGGATTCCCAGGTCCCAGTCTACTCTAGGCGCCTTCCCACGTCAAGAGTCGAGTGGTTTTCCGCTATATTTCCTCAGGGGGTTGGCGGAAGCCCAAGTTGGTTTCAGCGTTTTTTTGTCTGATGATTGTACCCATTTCATCCGACCGACGGATGACCACCGCCTGGGAGATCGGTCGTTTGGGGCCTCAGCAGGCGGTTGGATGTGGACATATTCGGGCCCTGGGGGAGTCCAAGTATAACCATATCAACCGCCCCTTGGGGTGCCAGGACATGCGTCTGCGACCACTTGCGAAATCTCCATGCACGGCTCGGACTGACGGCTATGCTCGCTGGGGGATCATTTGGTTGCAGACATCCTTCAAGTCTTGAAACCCTGCCAGTTCTTCAGAAGTCTGACCAGCAGGGGTAGTCAGGGATCGCACGCGAGTGCCTCAGCAGCCCCCCCAGGCGCTGGATCTTGATATAGCCCCGCCCCCACCGAAGGCTGCCGATCCGCGCCCCCGCGTGTGCATCCGAGGCGGCAGCGCGGACTCCAGCTGTACTCCATGCAGAGCGTGGTGCCCCGCCCGCGCTCGAAGAAGAACACACGGCACAAGCATAGACATCCCGCTTTTTTTGTTTTATTAAAGTTATGGTCACGGCATAAGTTTACGCGTGCCTAGTCACGCCGATGAACGTTTGTGCGTGTTAGCTGGCACACGGCAACACGCGTAAATACAAATTACGAATATCTAAACATGAGATAGGTCCGAGCGGGTTCCTAGGATCGGCGCCGGGCCCACCCGCTTGAAGCGCGCAACGCGCCAGGCAGGAACCGATCCAAGAAATCCTCGCGGACCTCCGAACGTGTATGGTTGTGCAGCTTCGTTTGTTCCTCCAGCGCACCGCCCGGCCTGCTGCCGCCGCCGCTGCTTGGGCGTTGCGTAATGGGGGAGTCATACATGGGGGGGTGGCGAGGGTGGTCCGAAAAGGTACCCAAACGGTACCTAAACGAGCCCCATGGGGCGCTGGAGGGGCCCGAAAGGGGCACGAAAGAGGACCTTTTCTGACCCCCCCATTTGTGACCCCTCCATTAAGCCATGCCCAAGCTGCTGCTGTCCGTTGCCGTCACTTACTCGGCTGACACCTCCTGCCTAGGGGGGGGGAGCATCGGCCCCCGGATCGCCCTCGGAGCGCCGCTTGGGGGGCCGACGGCCCAGCCAGCCCAGGAGCGTGCGGGTTGGTTGCCGGGGGCCGATCGTCGACGGCGATGTATTTTCCGGGTCGATGTTTCCCCCCTTAGTCTTCGGGGGCAACGATAGGGGGGACAGGCATACGGGGGGATGCATCGACCCCAAATCGCCCATTGATCGCCGATAAGGGCCCGATAGCCCCAACCTGCCCAGGAAGGTGCGGATTCATTATCGGAAGCCTATCGCCGATCTATCGGCCATGTCTTGCCGATTCCAGGTCGGTGCATCCCCCCCTATGCCAGTCCCCCCCTATCGTTGCCCCTCAAGTGTTCCCCCCTCGCCGAAGCTGAGGGGAGCCTGGACGGGCGGTGGTGGGGTCCTGGGCGTCCAGCGCCTCGGGAGAGTCGGGGCGGCAGGTGTGGTGCCGCGCCCAGCTGCTGGAGGCCTGTTTTCGGGCTCCGGGACCGTCAGCTTGGCAGCGCTCGGACGTGCGCATGTTTCTCGAGGATCGGTCGAAGAGAACTATGCACATGCACCGATCCTGGCAAGGCCCATTTTTGACCCAGGATCGGTGCATATGCCTTCCTGGCCAAGGTAGGAGGGCGTATGCACCGATCCTGGGCTCAGGATGGGCCTGGCCAGAATCGGTGTATGTGCATAGTTTTTTTTTTTTCTCTAGCTTGGCAGCGCTCGGACGTGTGCATGTTTCTCGAGGACCATCGAAGAGCCTTTAGGGGCAGCTAGCGAAAAAGTGCACGCATGGCACGAAGGATTGCAAATAACCCTTGGGTTTTTTGCAATCATTGGGTTTTTTGCAATCCTTGGGTGTTTTTTGCAATCCTTGGGTTTTTTTTGCAATCCTTCGTGCAAGTGCACGGGGAAGGGACGTCCGAGCGACGGCGGGTCCAGCAGTTGCTCGGGAGGAGAGGTCGGTCCTCGGGAGGACGGGTGCGAGAGGTCTCGGGGCCCACGCATCGAGCAAGACGGCAGCGCCGGATTGCAAAAAAACGAAGGATTGCAAAAAAAACGAAGGATTGCAAAAAAAAAAAACGAAGGATTGCAAGAAGGATTGCAAAAAAAACCTTCGTTTTTTTGCAATCCTTCGTTTTTTTGCAATCCTTCGTTTTTTGTTGCAATCCTTCGTTCAAGTGAGGTTGGGACGTTTGGGGTGGGCCAGGATCCGCCCCGACACGCTTGAACGCAGTTCAGGAAGTGGTTGGGCTTCGATCCCAGGCGGGGGGGCGCGTGAACTTTCCGCCACAATGGCATCGAGACGGCAAGTTTGTGTGTTCACAAGTTCTGGGATCTGGAGGCCCTCTCCAGGCCCCAGGACCATCAAACACTCGCTCGGGATGAATCACCGGTCTCGAGATGGAGGAGGCCATACCACAAAACAGTAATGAGTCATGGTGTCTGTGTGTTCCTCCCTCGCTTCCTCATCCGCCTCCTCTTGGTCCTCCTCTTCCCATTCCCGTCCTTCTTTCAGCCGTCCTCGTCGTCCTAGCTTAACCGAGGGTTTGGCCGGAGGGTTTCGCCGGCAGGCGTTTGCCAGGGGCGTTTGGGCCCCGGGGGCAGAAAAGTGCCGAATGCTGTCGGGCATGTTTTTTTTCGCGACGCGAGGGGGCCTGGGCTCGGGGGTCAACAGACGATCGGGTCGGGCGAAAGGGGGGGATTGGGAAAGGGGGGGGTACGAAATTTGCTGCATGCAGCTGGTTTCGGCCTCACCGAGGGGCCCATTCCTCGATACATAGCCGCTCCGGCGCCGGGAGGCGGGGAAAATCAGCTACGTGAGCTGATTCTCAAACCCCCCCTTTGCTATCCCCCCCTTTCGCCCGACCCGAGACGACCGAGGAGGTGGTGAGGAGGGCGAGAGCCCACACGTCCGCCGCGGTGATCTGAGATGGAAACCGCTCCACGACGGGAGCTGCCCCGCCAGCTCTGTCGCGCCGCGATGGTTTCCTCCAGCCCTTCTCCCTCGACCCTTCTCCTCCTCTTCCTCTCACCTTCCTCTTCTCTCAATCTCCTCCTCCTCCTCCTCCTCCTCCTCCTCCTCCTCCTCCTCCTCTTCCCTCTCCTTGTTCCTCCACGATGTCTCGCCCAGTGCAAAAATCATTACCGCGCGTGCCTCCCAGTGTGTAGCCCCTACGTGGCGCCCTCCTCCTGTCGTGCCACTGTCTTGCATATCCTTGGTCAAACTCCAGCTCAGTCCGTCTTGCATCGCCGAAGTGGCCTCCCAATCGGGCCTGATAGTCGCCAATCGTCCCCTCGAAATCCTCCCAGGAGTTGCACCCAGGGCTTTTCCCAACCAGGGCGGAATGAGGACACTGCTGTTTGCTGTTTGTTGTGTCTCAACGACGACGAGGCGGAGAAGGAGGACTAGGGCGAGGAGGTCGTCCAGGACGAGGGGGGCAAGGTGGACGAGGGGCAGGAGGAGAGCGTGGCCCAGGGGAGGGGGTCGGGCGAGGAGGTGCCGAATCACGAAAAGACTATAGGCTTGCAGCTCTGTTTTTTCGGACCTCCGCGCGGATGTCTTGGATCGGCCGTGGCCCCCCCCTGGCAGCACCGCGAGCGTCGCGCTGGGTGGCGCGCCGCGCGCTCCAGGTGGGCAGGCCCAGCGCCGAGCCACGGCCCCCGCGCGGCCCTCGCGGTGGTTTTTAATGTTTGCATGGAGGAGGAGGAGGAGGAGGAGGAGGAGGAGGAGGAGGAGGAGGAGGAGGAGGAGGAGGAGGAGGAGGAGGAGGGGGGAGGAGGAGGAGGAGGAGGATGGAGGAGGAGGAGGAGGAGGAGGAGCCGTTCCTTCTGTTTCGACCGCGGCACCCCCTCGGGGGCGGCGCCAGGGGGGTCCAGCGCCGAGGCAGGACCTCCGCGCGGGCGTCTGGCGCTTCTTGTGCTCACACCGTCGCGTGCTCCTCTGGGGCGGAGGTGGTGGGGGAGTCCGGCGGGGCGGAGGCGAGGACAAGTCCGCTCCAGAGCGTATACGGGACGCTCTCGAAGCGTTCCAGAGCGCTCCGAGAAGGCCGCGACGCCCGGTACATCCTCCAGAGCTGTCGGATCCCAGAGATTCCACTGTACCTTCACCCGAATTTATCCTCGTCCTGGTTCCGTCTTAGTGAGCCGTCGGAGGCAGAGCGCGGCGACGACGACGACGACGAGGGCGGGGACCCGATCTCTCGAGTCGGTCCAGCCCAGGCCAGGACGGCGAGGGCGGGCAGGAGGGAGAGGGCGACGGGCATATGAGGGTGGGCCGCAGACGAGCCCGCGCCCGCAGGACACCGTATTCACGCTCGCGCGGGCGCATATCGAGGACAGGTGGACCAGGATCGACCCTCCACCCCCTCGGCATCGCTCGGAAGTGTACAAGTTCTCCTCGGCGAGGACCATCGAGGAGCATCGTTTTGCTTGTAATCAGCGGGCGGAAACACTTACGACATCGAGAAATGACAAATGCACGGGGAATCGACGTCCGAGCGAGGGCGGGGCCTTGCTCCGTCCCTTCCGCATTTCTCCTCCTCCACCTCCTCCTTCTCCTCCTCCTCCTCCTCCTCCCCTCCCCCCATCCTCCATCAATGTCAGCGGCAACTTGCTTGTATATGTTTTTGCCAGCTGAGCTGAGCCATGCATAATTACACACCAGAGGGAAGGTTCAGCATCTCGCGAAGCCGTGCCCCATTCTGCAAGGTCGAGGCTCTGCAGAGGATCATCGAGACGTAAGACTCGAGTACGCCCGATCTCGGGTTCGCCTTCGTTTTTTTGACGGGCCCGTCCTGAATTTGACGGCCCAGTGCTCGTGGGATGTCTGCAGCGGGATCCCGCGTCAAATTTTAGATTGGGTCGCGCCATTTTCACGATGGCCCCGTCGGGCCAACCCGAGTCTCCCTAACGGGAGTCTTACGTGAGTGCTCGAGCTAAACGTTGTGTTGGCGTCTTCGCGGATTAATTTCGTGTTGATGTTGTTCCGCAGCAAAGGCAGATCTAAGACAGAACAAGTGAAAACGAACGCAAAACAGCAGCAAAACCACTGTGCAGCTCCAGCCCTGTCTTACGCGAAGCGGACGATCTGCTCGGAAAGATTCCAACCAACGGTCCTCCCGCGCCTCCCTCCCTCCCCCATGCCACTGCCGCCCCACCCCTCCCTGTCTCGCTGCTCAGCTCGCAGGCGGTTTTTCTCCCCCAATCCTTATGATGTTCCAGCCTGGTTTAACCTTGATCGCCAAAAAGAATGTCGGGCACCTAGGAAGCACCGAAACTGCAGGGTGTTCGCGTGTCGGGCCCTGCGAGGCGATACTCGTTCGACATTGCTTCGATATTGTTCTTGGTGCTCGAAAGTTTTGCTTGGGTGTGGTCCGTGAGTACGATGGGAGCTACACGACCCAATCCCCGAGCTCCGCCCGCCAAGTTTGGCCGCTCAGAACAGGGGGGGGGAGCCTGGGATACACTGCCTTCGTCGCGGCGCGGCGGAGGCAGTCCGCTCGCGCGCTCCAGCAGCTGGTCGGGCGAAGAGAACTATGCACATGCACCGATCCTGGCAAGGCCCAGCCTTGACCCAGGATCGGTGCATGTGCCTTCCTGGCCAAGGCAGGAGGGCGTATGCACCGACCCTGGGCTCAGGATGGGCCTGGCCAGAATCGGTGCATGTGCATAGTTCTTTTTCCTCTAGCTGGGGCAGAGTGCACGACTTGTCCAGCCGCAAGCGAGAGAGACGGGGCAGAGGGCGGCTGCGAACACCTTGGGATGCGTTCGGGCAGGGGGCAACGCGGACTTCACCCTCATCGAGGATGGACGCCCCGCCCCCCCCCAACTCGTAGATACCCCAGGGTTGGGCCCAACATGTCAGGCCCGATCGAAAACCCCACGAAGCCTCGAAGAATTGCAAAAAAACCGAAGGATTGCAAAAAAGGATTGCAAAAAAACCCTTGGTCGAAGGATTGCAAAAAAACCTTGGGTTTTTTTGCAATCCTTTTTTTGCAATCCTTGGTTTTTTTTGCAATCCTGGTTTTTTGCAATCCTTCGTGGGGGTCGGCATAGCCCCCGTTACCGTGCCGTGGCGAAAGCCCGGAGGGGCCCGCCTACACCTCCACAGTCCGGTGGACTCTCCCTCCCCGCATCCCCTCTCGGCGTGGTCCCCGGGGGCCCCACTGCTCGGCGGGGCGGGTGGCGGAGGCGGTCCGCCCCGCGCCGCCCCGCCGAGCCCCTCGCCCACGGGGACTGAGCACGGCTCGTCGCCCAGTGCAGCGTTGCACCGACCCCCTCCCTCGTCCCTCCTCCTCCCTCCCCTCCTCTCGTCCCTCCTCCTCCTCCTCCTCCTCCCTCCCTCGTCTCCTCCTCTCGTCCCTCCTCTCGTCCCCTCCTCCTCCCTCCCAAGAGGCGAACAAATCCACACAGACACATCACCGCTGACGCCAGTGACGGTGCAGGAAGTGAGGGGAGGAGGAAGTCCTGGCAGACGTGCAGACAGATTGGTGGTCCTGGAGTTTGTGCCGATTTCTTTGTGGCTCCCTGGCCCCCATTCTTCTCCTCTGCTTGCTCGGCAGGGCCGTGCGCAGCGTCAGCGCGGTAATCGATGCACCGGCGTCGGACGGCCGCGGGCGGAACAGGCCGAACGGTTGCCGGAGGCGACGATAGGGGCGGATGGCCCAGGAGCAGGCATTACACGCATTCGCCCTGGAGCCATCGCCGAAGGCATGTATGGTAGGTTTGCGTCGTGTAGACCAGCGGCGACCCCAGCGCGGGCGTTCAAGGTTGAACGCCGCCGGCGACCCAGAATCGGTCGATGTTGAACGATCGGACGTTGCGGAGACGGCCGATCGTTCAAGGTTGAACGATCCCTGCGGTGTCAAAAACCAACGCTGGGGTCGGCACGGCACGAACCTGCCGTATTTCTCTCCCCTGGGCTATTCCCCCCCATCGTCGCCCCCGAGGTTGGGAGAGGAGGACGGGCGGAGAGAGAGCTAGAGAAGACGAGCCACGAAGACTTGACAAGGCCAAGAGGAGCGGCTTGGTTCCGGAAGGCGTTCTGGCAGTTGCGCCTCGTCGAGATTTTTTTCCTGGGGTGCCCGGCTCGCCTGGAGAGCGGCCGCCAGAGGCCCGAGTTATGACCGGGGGGGTGTACACCCTAGGCGATGCTTAAGAAAACCTAAGTTTTCGGCCAGAGCCTCGATTTTTCTTAATGTTTCAATGCAAATCCTAAGATTTGAATCGACATTCTGGGTTTTTATTCAAGTTCCTAGACTATGAATTTCGTAACCCATGATTTCTTAAGCATTTCGCAGGGTGTAGATCTCTTCGGTTTCATGGCTCCGCGTTCTTCTTTGAATACGTGCCCCGCCCCCCCTTCGTCCACGCACGTGCTTCCCCTCGTTCTGGCCCCCTCTTCGGCGCGCCCGAGCACAGGACTTGGGACAAGGGCCTTCTCTTGTTCTCGCAGCTGCGGAAGGAGGACGGGCGCGCACCCACCGGGAGGAGGCGCGAGGACCGAGCAGCGAGGAGCACAGTCGCTGCCTGTTGGTGAGGACGAGGGCATACTGCGAAGGCAGCATGGCCGGTGCCGCCGACCCTGAAGACGGCGACGACGAGGACGACGAAGATGTTGAGCAGCAGGACGAGGATGAAGAAGCGGAGCAGGAGGAGTAGGAGGAGCAGGAGCGGGGGACTGGAGCACAGTCGCCGCCTGTTGATGAGCACGAGGGCATAGTTTCAAGGGTGCCCGTCTTTTTTCGCCTTAGAGGCCCATCCTTCAACAATTTTGGTGGCACGCCTTGTTGTGACTGAGGTCCCCCATGGTCTTGCACCGTTGCCTTGCGTCCTTGCGACGCGCAGCCACTGTGGGCAGCATGGCTGGTAGTGGCTTGTGCTGGCTCCATCGCGGCCGCAAGTTTCCGAGGTCTCACAGAGGTTGCATCCTCTTCCTCTTCGTCGTCCTCCTCCTCCCCACCCCCCTCGAGATGCAACTCCTGGGAGGTTGAAGTGAACGTCGGCGCTTGCAGATCCGTGGTCGAAAACCAGCCTAAGCCTTCATAACCCATTTAATCCCGCCTAATCGGCTCAACCGATTGGATGCTTGGTTTTATTTGGGCTAATCCAGTTCTACTGCCCCGTGATCGGGCTCAATCGCCCTAAACTCTTCTTACGAAGACCTCCCAGAAGTTGAGTCCTAACCCCCTCCGTCCTCCCACCTCCATCCGCGGGCGAAAAACCTGCCCCTACCTGCGGCCTCGCGGGCCGGGCCTTTGGGCCGCGACCCCGCGCAGAAGGTGCGCATGTTCGCGGATGCCCCGCGCGGAGCGTGTCCGTGCGACCGCGTACTCCAGATTTCGTAATAAAAGGAGGGGGGTCTCATTTCGGGGGGGTCTCTTCCAGGCTATCTTGGAGGGCCTGGGGGGGTCTGGGGAGGATGTTTTGGAGGGTTCCCCCACGGGGGAGGTCTGAAATGGCTTGTCTTGGAGGGTCCAGACCCCCTCCCTTTTATTACGACATCTGGAGTATCCTTGGGATCGCACGCTGGAGTCCAGACCGCGAGGGCGCGGATGCGGACATGTTCGCCGCTTGTGACCCTTCTCGGCCGAGAGCCCGGGGGGAAAGTGAACAGGAGAAGGCCTCCTCAGAAGGCTCGGAAGTGCCGAGGCCTCGTGACGAGTGGTCGAGGCCTTCCCCGAAGGCCCAGAACACCTCTCAGCAGGCCCGAGGCCTTCTGAGAAGTCCGGCCGCCTTCTGAGAAGGTCTTCTCCTGCTCACCTTCCCCCCCCCTCGCTCGCCGCCGGCCTTCTCTGCCTCCTCGACAACAGAGTCTTGCTCGTAGTACCTCCCGTGGTCGCCATCCGTGCCACACAGGGGACCCCTGGGGTGGCCAGAACTGCAGTGGGTTGGGATCGTGGTCCCTTCTTTCCTCCGCGCTGGGACTCTGCACCCCGTGGCCACTCCTCGCCACCTCCTCTGCCTCCTCCGTCCGCCAGGACCCGAACTTCCGCCACGGCTGCAGCCCCGAGGGCCTCGCCGAGCCCGCGGAAGGCGGCGCCGATCCCAGCGGCAGGTTCGCGGAGGGCCACCGGCGGCTGGCGCGCATCGCGTACACCGCCGCCTTGAGCACGTGCTGCGCCCCCGCTTGGCGGCGCGCGCGGGGCCCCCGACCAGGCATCCCTGACGCTCGAGTCGCCATGGGGGGAAGCGGGTCCTGACTTTCAGGAACGAAAGAAGGACGTACATGTACATGAATCCACGCTGGTTTCGAGAGTACGCATTGCGCAAATGTTCGTATAACGCGGCCGGTCTCGCGGATCGAGGGGCCGTGTTCATGTACATAGCCGGGCGCGTACGTCCTTTGTGGGCTCCCTAGACTTCGCGGCGCGCGCCAGGGAGGAAGGGGGGGGGATGGGGGAGGCTTCTTAGAAGGAGGCTGGTTCTCAAAAGGCGGCGGCCTTACATCTGGAGTATACTTACGGCCCACACCTTCTGAGAAGCAGGGATGCTTCTAAGAAGCCTTCCCCCCTCGCCCTACCTCCCCTCTGCGCGCCGCCAACCGAGGGACACGGGTCCCGCGGTTTTTCGCCGTCCTCGGGCCCTCGGAGCCCTCCACGGGCGAGAGATCGGCTCAGGACGAAGAGCTCGTCCTGGGAGCAGGCCCCAGGGTCCAGGACCCGTTTCCCTCAGGACCCGTTTCCACCAGGCCAGTCGATGGCGGGGATGGGCCTAAACGGTGTTTGGGCGACTTCGTGGGCCGTTTTCGCTGCGATCTCGTTTTGCGTGAAAGGCGGAATGAAAACAAAACGAGGGAAAACGAAAACAAAAGGAAAACGGAAAACACCGTTCAGGCATTCGCAGAACGCCCCCGCAGACGAGCAGAGCAGAGCAGGTGCAGCAGAGCACCGTGGCCTGCCCTGCGCCCCGGCGTGCGGCACGGCCTCGAGGAGGAGCTCGGAGGCCCATCTCGGCATGCTCCGGCGCGTGCACGCGTCTCTCGGCGGGGACCCTCGGGGAGCATTTTGGGTCACCTCGTGACAGAAATGCGGGCAGTACTTATATCCATATCCAGAGCGTCGTGGACTTTTTGGGGAGAGGTGCCGCAACGCCGAGGCGCACTGGATATGGATAAAATCAAGCCTCTTGGGGCCAGATGTTTCTCCATATCCAGTGCGTCTACGGTTTCTGGGGAAGAGGGCGCAAGAATCCAAGACGCACTGGATGTGGATAGACTTATTGCCCGCAAACAATATCGGCGGCAAGCCCGGGGGGGGGAAGTGAAAAGGAGGCTACGTCTCAGAAGGCCCAGAAGTCCCCTGGCCTTGTGACAAGTGCTCGAGGCCTTCCCCGAAGGCACAGACAACTTCTCAGAAGGCGCGATGGCTTCTGAGAAGTCCAGCCGCCTTCTGAGAAGGCCTTCTCCTTGTCATTTCCCACCGTCGTTCGCCGCCGAAGATAAGACGCCCGAACCCGCAACATGCATAGGAAATGGACGTCCGAGCGATGGCGATTGAGTAACAAGACGCCCACCCACCAGCCCAGCGCCACTCAGTCGAGAACTGAGAGCATGCCCACCCAGGCAAGACAATGGAGGACATATACATTGGTTTACTCGGCATTGGCAGGCGAGTGTGCCAGTGCAGTCCGCAGTCGGTTTCGCTAATCGACGTCTTCTCGCCAGATACATTCGCTTGTTTGTTGACGTCGATGAGCTACCCCGCTGGGTTGCAATCGGAATGCGGTGCGCCGGGCAATTTCCACTAAAGGTCGTTCCGCTAAAGGGTCTTCGGTCCATCCCCGACCCAAGGCTCACAACAACACTCACGACCCAAGTTATGCAACGAAAATCTTTACACGGACACCCGCCCGCCGACGAAGTCTGCCTGTGCCTGCAGGAGGGGCGGCGGTGTCTAAACATCGTTGGCTCTCGTTGCTGATTTGTACACCTCCGCCCTCCCCTGAAGCCCAGGAACAATCCTCTGGGGGCTGCCCGTGTGTGTACAGATTGGGAACGCCTTACGGCCATTGCCGCCGACCCTGAAGACGACAAAGACGACGAGGACGACGAGGAGGAAGACGGGGAGGAGGAACGGGAGGAGAAGGAGGATGCCGAAGACGCGGTGGAGTCGCAGGAGGAGGATGCGCGGAGGAGGAGGAGGAGGAGGAGGGGGAGCAGAGGCAGGGGGTGGACGCGGGGAGGGGGGGGGAAATGAGCCGTAGGAGGACGAGAATAATGGGAGTCGGAGGAGCAGGAGAGCGTGAATTACCTAATTACCCCGCTTTCGCTTCCAGGAAAAACCAAGGCATACCACGCGCCTCCTCGTCAAGCGGCCTGACCAGTACAGGCCGTAGTTTGGCATCGCTTGGTATCTCTTGGAAGCGAGGGTGGTCAAAAGCGAGGTAGGTTTGTTTGCCCCCTAGAGCAGGGGAAACAGCAGGACGCAGGAGGGGGAGGGAGGAGGAGGGGCAGGTGGAAGAGGAGGATCGGGAGGAAGAGGTCGAGCACGTGGAGGCAGGAGGCAGGAGGAGAAGAAGGAGGACGCCGAGGGGGGAGGAGGAGGAGGAGGAGGACGCCGAGGAGGAGGAGGAGGACGAGGAGGAGGAGGAGGAGGAGGGGGAGGAGGAGGAGGAGGAGGCGGCGGACGAGTCATCGCGCGCCCCTCCCGCAGCCTCCCCCGGCTCGGGCCGGGGCCTCGCCGCGGCGCCTCGAGGCGCGCGGCGGGCCGGCGCGCGCGGCGGGCCGGCGCGCCGCGGCGGCGGCCGGCCGGGGGCCGCCCCGCCGTCGGCGGGGCGTGGAGCGGCGCGGGGCTGCCAGGGGCCTCGAGAGCTTCCCAGATGGTCTGGTACCGGAAATTTTCGGTAGCGACTTCGACGCACCCCGAATTTCGGTAGCGGCCGGATCTTCGTTCGAGGGCGTTGAGAAAGCGGATTTCAGAACGCTCTGATACCGGTATTGGGCGCTACATTTCGGTATTTCGGTAGCGACCGATCTCTGCGGAGCGCTACCGGAAATTTTCGGTAGCGGACCATCGGGGGGGGCCTCGAGAGCTTGAGTCGGGCCGGGCGAAAGGGGGGGGATTGGGAAAGGGGGGGTTACGAAATCTGCTGCATGCAGCTGGTTTTGACCTCGCCGAGGGGCCCATTCCTCGATACATGGCCGCCTCCGGCGCCGGGAGGCGCCGGGAAAATCAGCTACGTGAGCTCATTCTCACCCCCCCTTTGCTATCCCCCCCTGTCGCCCGACCCGATTGAGACTCGGACACGTAGTAGTAGCATGTCTTTGTGCCTGCCATGTCGTTCCGCTCGCGTTTCCGGGGCCCCTGGGGGCTGGTCTCCATCGTTCGTCGGATCCGGGGCAACTGTCGGAGGAGAAGAAGAATTACCCATGCCGCTACACTTCGCCCGTTTTCCCCCTCTCGGGCCTCCTGGGAGGCTCTCGTCGCCACCCCTGGATTCGCCCCGGAGTACTGGTCCAAACGCACGCTGGAAGAGGTCAGGGGAGTAGCGGTATCGGTGCCCGTTGGTTTCCTCAGAGACGGGGGTCTATGCAAACGGGAGTCAGCCAGAGCGCCGGAGCTAGCAGGATGTTGCACGGCCAGGGGCGCAGTGACCCGGGCTTGGGCGCAGGATCTTGCAGGGTCCTGTTGGATTTGCAAAGCCCGACTGACCTGGGTCTGCAATGACCTGGGGCAGTGCGTCCCCGAGGGTGGTGGGGGGCAGGGGGCAGATCGGGGGCCCCCGAACTCACTGAGAACAAAAGAAGCCCTAAGCCTAATATCCCAATGAAGACTGGTCTCACTCACGCCCCCTTTTTTACATGATAACTCATAAATCTGGGCGGTTTGGTCTGATACATCTGCTGGAAATACCCCCTTTATCGCTAATGTTTGTGGCCCTCCTATTTTACGTCCCCTCCTAAAGGATTAGGGTACTTTCAGCGCTTATCACGAACGAACGGTGTGGTGATGCACCGCGTGGTGAGTTCGTGGGGATTTTCGGGTCACCGCACGTTCTTGGGACTCGGGTCGTTTTCCGAGGACGTCTCGGGCGATTGGGGCCGCCAGGGTCCCAAGACCGTGCGGTGACGGACGGCGCGGTGAGGTCGTTGGCGATTTCGAAGTCACCGCTCGGTCCGTCAACACACGGCTTTCGGGCCCCGAAGCAGAAGGGGTCCTGCCGGAGAGGCGCCCCTAGGTGCTTCGCCATTTTCCGGCTCTCGGGCGTGGCGAGTGGGGGCCGCCCCTTTTGACAGCGTAAGGCTGTGCCTCCTTCCCCATCGCTCCCCCCCTCTTCCTCGCCCCTCGTCCTCCTTCCCCTGCCCCCCTCCTCTTCCTCATCCTCGTCATATCTATCTCTGTCATTCGCGTACTCCCTCTGCTCCCCGAGTGCTCTTTCCCTTTTGGTCTGCGACCTCCTGGCCCTCCTCGACCTCCTCCGCCTTCTCGTTCGTTTTGTCCTCGGCACCACTTCCCTGTTCATATAAACGAATCCCTGTCGCACCCCGAGGCGTGTCCGTGGGGCGGGCCGGGCGTTTCGTTTGCGACATTCTCACTGTTTCTGGTTCTCACGCTAGTAGTGTGCAACGGCTTCACGGATGGAGGGCGGTTCCCTTTCCAAATGAGGTTCTCGCCTTCGCGCCGCGCGCACTCGTTTGAAACATGTGCAACTGTTTGAATTTCTATCATGGCTAGCGTTCTAGAAATTTGGTTTTGGAGCTAGGTAAGCCTGTGAGGGCGCAACATGTACGTTGATTCGCAGTGCTGAAGTCTCGGGAATGGCGATCCTGTGCGATCAAGGATCGTCAGGACGCAGCAGTAGGGTTGATTCGTGGCGTTGAAGCCCCAGGAATGGCGCAACGCTACAGTTCGGGATGTTCACAATGTTGTCTTCCAACGGGGCCCCCAGTGGAAATGAATCCTTATAAGGGGCCTGTGAAGAGGGAGCTTGGACGGGGGGGTTATTGCAACATCGTTGATTGGTCTTGGGTTTAAACTGGTCATCTTCCTCCTCCTCCGTCTCCTCTCCTTTTTCTCCTCGTCCGCATCATCGTCCTCGTCCTTCTTTCCAATCTCCTCTTCGCCTCGGCCACCTCGTCTGCCCCCTGATCCCCCCGCGCCGTTCGCGTCCAGCCGCGCGTCACCGCTCGGTGGGAGCCCGCCAGCGGGTGACTGGGCGGCCGGCCGTGCGGCACCATGGCGCGAAATGAGGAGAAGGCGATGACCGCGCTGAACAGGCGGGCCCGGGGCAGAAGCCGCAGGCAGATCATTTTCCTCACGTTCGGACCGAGATACGAGTTCGGCTCGGGGAGGGTACCCTAACGTTCTTCGTGTCTGTTGCATGTCCTTGTGCGCCCTGGGAAGGGCGCCCTCGGATGGTCGGTGTTCAGCCACGCGCAGAGGGGGGTGGGGGGAGGGGGGAGGGCTTCTTAGAAGCACCCCTGCTTTTTAGAAGGCGCGGGCCTCATCTACCGATGTAAGGCCGGCGCCTTCTAAGAAGCAGCCTCCTTGTAAGAAGCACTCCCCCTCCCTCCACCCCCTTGCCCGCGCCGCCAAAGTGTGTTGTGGCCGGCGGAGGGTCACATGTTCTCTAAGGATGTTTTTCTGTCCTAGGTCCGACTGTAGCCTCTCAGATGGGGTCCGAGTATGTGAGGTCGGTGAATCGCTCCTCATCGCCGATGCATCGGCGATGCGGCTTGTTGTGGATCCAGAACTTCTCCACGCCGATGCATTGCGATGCATTGGTGATGGGGCGCGACCTTCCGACCATCTACTTCAACCCCATCCAGGAGGCCTCTATAAAGGCTCGTTTGGGCGTCTTTCCGGAGACCCACCAAACGGATCTGTTCGATTCTAGATTGACTCGAGTTAATACGATTCAAGTTCGATGCAAGCGATCCAAGACGACGGACGTTCGACGCAACGCCGACGCATGAGTGGAGCGAGTGGCTCCAGGAAGTTCCCCGGAACGATCTGGGGCCGTCGAAGGGTGACGGGAGGGGTTCGGTTTTCGTTGGTTCGTTGAGGCTTTCTGACGTCAGGATGCTTTCCAGCATCTGCGCCCCGTCGAGAGCCTTCCGAGGGGTGCTCGGATCGTCCCGGGCGGCCGCCCGAGTGTGGAGGCCCGAGTGATCCCGAGGGTCGCCAGGCGTCGAGGGGGGGTTGACGACCATGGGCGTGCAGATACCATGCAGTCAACGCGCCTGGTAAGGACGCGCGCCTTCTTCCGGGGTGCCCTGGAGAGCTGTAATTGCAACTGTGCATGAGCGGCAACAGAAGTCACATCCCCGAAGGGAGCACTCAGGCAAAGAAGTGCGACGGAACGGGACAAGGGCAAGTCGCCTGGCCCACTCGCGGCCGCCTTCCTTGAGGCGGTGTGCCGCTCCGGTGGTGCTGCCAGGAATCGAAATCCTCGCCTCTGGAGACGACACAGGTCCTGATTCAGAGGGCCCCGCTGCGCCGACCCTGATCCTGCGGGCTGGCTACGCGGACCCAGGAAGGCAAACATGTGCCACACCTGTATGAAACAATCGTGATGCGAGGGAGTCGAACCCTCCACCACGCAAAACAAAGGCCGCCTGCTTGTTTCCGCAAACTTGGGCCAATTCCCTGACAGTGTGCCCTCCGCTTGAGGTAGCGCCGGTGCCAGGATACGGGGGTGCCCTTGGGGAGGAGGAAGAGGAGGAGGAGGAGGAGGAGGAGGAGCAGGAGCAGGTGGAGGAGGAGCAGTGGGGAGGAGGAAGAGGAGGAGGAGGAGGAGCAGGAGCAGGAGCAGGTGGAGGAGGAGCAGGAGCAGGAGCAGGAGCAGGAGCAGGAGCAGGAGCAGGAGGAGGAGACCGTGTCCTTGCCCCTGCGGCCCGCCCTTTGCCGTTTTCACCGGTCGCCCGTGCCCAGAAAGTGCCGGCTTTGGCCTCCAAGGGCCTTGCGTCCGTTGCCGCCTGTCCTTGACGTACGTTCTGACTGTAGTTGGCGGAGGCCCGCGCGGATTGCAAAGGATTGCAAAAAAAACGAAGGATTGCAAAGGATTGCAATCCTTCGTTCTAGGGTTCTTTTTTGCAATCCTTTTTTGCAATCCTTAGTTGGCGGAGGCCCGCGCGGATTTGCTGGGTCGGCGCTGCCCTCCCGCCATGCTGGCGGCGCACGCCAGGCGCCGCCCCCTGGAGCGCTCCGCTCACCAGAGGGGTGGGGCCCGGGCGCCGCCCCGAGAAATCCGCAAGGATTTCCCCAATGTTGAGATCATGCCGTGCTCCGCTCCTTCGGGGGCACGAGATGTGCCCCCACGACACGGGGGACAACTACGTCCCGACTTCATGGCTTCTCCATGACAGATTCCCGCGGTCATAGCCCCCCCTCCTCTGTCAGCACGTCCCCTGCCCCCCCCCCGTCGTCCGCGGCACGCCTGTCGGGCCACGACGCGCCACCCACCCCTCGTGCTCGGCCTGGGGTCACCACGCGGTCCCCGGAAGTCTCGGCCCCCTGCTCTCGTCGGGGGCTCAAGAGACGGGGGTCAGTGCAAAGGGGGTCAGCCAGAGCACCGGGTCCTGCAGCATCCTGGCTGACCCGGGCTAGCGAGACCCCCTCTGGCCGACCCGGGTTAGCGAGCCGCTCGTGGCCGCGAGGCGGCCGCGCATATTGGCTGACCCGGGTTTGCGAAGACCTGCGTTGCAGTTTCTTGTTCCTGCATTGCAGTTTTTTGGTTTCCTGCTGACCCGGGTTTGGATTGACCCGGGTCAGAAGATCCCCGATCTCGGGGCCAGATTTTTATCCCAAGTCTTCCTTTGAAGCCCCCCTGGCCCAGCGAGGCGCCCCTGGGGCCCAAAGTGGCAACCAGTTTCGTCGCGTTTGTTTTCACGACGCGATCATGTCCGGAAACATTCATGGTGCCTGGCTCCGTCAGCCGAAGAGGCTTGTGACCGAAGACAGTATGTGACCGACAACGTGTCTGGAACTGTGGCCGAACACATCGGGCGCTCGAATTTGTGACCAAGATTGACCATCATATGGATTTCGACCAACAAAAATTGGGTCACATCCGTGCACGTTCAGAAACAATTGTCGCCAGTTTCGCTCACATTCGGGATCATTTTCGGCAATTTCGACTGTTACTTCCCACTGATATTGACGAGACCGCGTGGGACCCCCCTCTTCCTGGCCCCGCCTCGGGGCACTACCCGACGACTCCTCTCTCCTCTCAGGGCAACGTCATGGAGGATAGGCTCAGGGTGGGAGATTCCGACCTGGAACCAGCGATAGCTCGCCGATAGATGGGCAAGAGGCCCCAACAGCGAACCCGCACGGTCCTGGGCGGGTGGGCTACCAGGTCCCCCATCGGCGATGAATGAGCGATTGGGGGGTCGATGCGTTCCCCTCTGAGCCTATCCCCCCTAACGTTGCCCCTCATCATCGGAGCATGACTCGGGTCTCTGGCGGCCGATCGGGACGATTCCCGCACCCTTGGGTCGGTTGTTGCTAGAAGTGCACCTGGCCAGAGGTGCCCCAAGAATCCCCCGCGGCCTCCACAGCACCCCTCACGATGTCCAGGGGGCCCCAGGAGCTTCAAAATGGAGCGAAACGCTTGGTGGCACCTTTGGCCAGGGGCACCTGTAGCAATCCCCGACCGGAGCTCCCTCGACGAGGCGCAGCTTCTGGAAGCCGGCCCCAGACCTCGAAGACTTCGTGGCACCGCCCCAGAGCCCCTGAAGGGGGCCTTGCCTCGGCACAGCACCCGACGAGTCGCTCCAGCGGGGCCTGTCGCCGACCTGTCGGCGAGGGATTGCCGTTTCCAGCTCGACGTCCGTAGGCCTCCCAGGTGGGGCCCGCGCAGATGGGGTCGGAAGATCGCGCCGCATCGCCGATGCATCGGCGATGCGGCTCGGTGTGGAGTGTGGTTTGCTCCACGACGCCGCCGATGTATCGCCGACGTCTCCGATACATCACCAATGCATCGGCGATGTGGCGCGATCCCCCGACCCCATCTACTCGGACCCCATCTGGGAGGCCTCTAACTGTTCCCCCCCCTGGGGCGGTCGTCTCCTTCAAGGTCCCCTGTCTGAACGGGGGGAGAACGTGCTCGTTGTCCAGATCTCGGGCGTGCTGATCTTTGCAGTCCGGGCGTTGTCCTTCGATTTCGGTACCCGCGGCCCGTTCTGAGGGTCCCAGGACAGCCCCCCTGAGGCGGTCCGCCCCCCCACGTTCTCCCTCATCTTCCTGGCCCCGCCTCGGCGCACCACCCGACGGCTCCGCTCTCCACTCGATGACCCTCAGGACGTGTCGCAGCCCAATGTGTGTGTGTGTCTGTGTGTATATGTGTGTACATGCGTGTATGAGTGTATGTGTGTGCGTGTCTGTGTGTGCGTGTCTGTCTGTCTGTCTGTCTGTCTGTCTGTCTGTCTGTCTGTCTGTCTGTCTGTCAGTCTGTCTGTCTGTCTGTCTGTCTGTCTGTCTGTCTGTCTGTCTGTCTGTCTGTCTGTCTGTCTGTCTGCTGCCCCTCTCAGCTCCGCCGATAGCACGCCGCCTGCTTCGGCCCTCCCTTCGCCGACTGCGTCGTGCGGAAGGGCCTCGGTGGACAAGCACACGTTGGCGTTAGCACACGCTCTGTCACGTTGCGTCTTCGAGGGACCTCGTCTGTCCCTCCGAAGGGGGCCTTTTCTCGTGCCCGGCGTGGGCTCGATGCGGGC